GCCCGCTTCTCGGGGCTCTGCGAGCCTGGGGACAGCGACAGGGACAGGGGGACAGAGGGGACATGGGGACATGGGGACAGCTGGGGACATGGGGACAGCCAGCGGGACACGGGGACAGCGAGGGCAATGGGAACAATGGGGACACTGGGGACAATGGAGATAAAAGGCCAATGGGGGCAGTAGGGACAATGGGATTTTAGGGGACATTGGGGGACAATGGGGACAGTGAGGACAGTGGGGATATAGAGGACAGGGGACACAGGGGACATTGGGGACAATGGGGATAGAGGGACAACGGGGCAATGGAGACACAGGGGACAGTGGGGTAGAGGGGACAACAGGGCAGTGGGGACAATGGGGCACTGGGGACAATGGGGACATTGGGAATTTAGGGGGCAATGGGGACAGTGGGGACAGTGGGGACAATGGGGATAGAGGGGACAACGGGGCAATGGGGACAATGGGGCACTGGGGACAATGGGGTAGAGGGGACAACGGGACAATGGGGACAGTGGGGACACCGGGGGTACAGGGGACGACGGGGACATGTCCCTACTGTCTGCCGGTGACCCAGAGGTCGCTGGCCTGTCCCCAGACCAGGTAGTCCTGTCCCCTGCGCAGCCGCAGTGCGTCCCTGCACTGCTGGTGGCTCACGAAGGTCCTGTTGCTCCCGGCCGGGTCCTCGTCCGTGCCTGGTCACCGTGTCACCGTGTCACCGTGGTGCAGTGTCACCGTGTCACCACATCACCGTGTCACCATGTCACCGTGTCACTACGTCACCATGTCACCATGTCACCATGGTGCAGTGTCACCGTGTCACCATGTCACCGTGTAACTGTGGTACTGTGGCACCGTGGCACCATGGCACCATATCACCATATCACCGTGTCACCGTGGCACCATGGTGCCGTGTCACCATGTCACCACGGCACCGTGTCACCGTGGCACCATGGCACCGTGTCACCGTGTCACCACGTCACCGTGTAACCGTGGTACCATGGCACCGTGGCACCATGGCACCATATCACCATATCACCGTGTCACCGTGGCACCATGGTGCCGTGTCACCATGTCACCACGGCACCGTGTCACCGTGGCACCATGGCACCATATCACCATATCACCGTGTCACCGTGTCACCACGGCACCATGGTGTCGTGTCACCATGTCACCACATCACCGTGTCACCGTGTCACCATATCATCGTGTCACCATGTCACCATGTCACTGTGTCACCATGGCACCATGTCACCATGTCGCCATGTCACTGTGTCACCATGGCGCCATGTCACCATGTCACCACATCACCGTGTAACCGTGTCGCCATGTCACCATGTCACCATGGCACCGTGTCACCGTGTCACTGTGGCACCGTGTCACTATGTCACCACATCACCGTGTCACCGTGTCACCATGGCACCATGGCACTGTGTCACCATGACACCGTGTCACCATGGCACCATGGTGCCGTGTCACCATGTCACCACATCACCGTGTCACCATGTCGCCATGTCACCGTGTCACCATGGCACCATGGCGCCATATCACCATGTCACCACATCACTGTGTCACCGTGTTGCCATGTCACCATGGCACCGTGTCACCGTGTCACCATGGCACCATGTCACTGTGTCACCATGGCGCCGTGGTGCCATGGCACCATGGCACAGTGTCACCATGGTGCCATGGCACCATGTCACCACATCACTGTGTCACCGTGTCGCCATGTCACCATGGCACCGTGTCACCATGGCGCCATGGCACCATGTCCCCATGACACCATGGTGCCACGTCACCATGTCACCATGGCGCCATGGCACCATGTCACCATAGCACATTGTCACTGTGTCACCATGGCACCGTGTCACCGCGGCACCGTGTCACCGTGTCACCTCCACCCCCCAAACATGGCAGCCATGGTGACACCACCCCCCGTGGTGGCACTGGGTGCCTCCGGCTTTGCCAGCAGGCTTGGTGTCCCCAATGCTCCACGGTGACACTGACCCCACCTGGGTGACACTGACCCCAGTCGGGTGACACTGACCCCACCCGGGTGACACCAACCCCACCTGGGTGACACTGACCCCACCCACCCAGGTGACACTGATCCATTTGGGTGTCCCTGAATTCTCTTGGGTGACACCAACCACAGGTGGGTGACAACGACCCCAGCTGGGTGACACCGACCCATCTGGGTGACACCGACCCCCCCCAGGTGACACCACCCCACCTGGCTGTCCCCAGCCAACCCACTTGAGTGTCCCCATCTGCAGATGACCCCCACCATGTCCCTCCCCAAAGTCACCTTGTGGGTGACACCGACCCATCTGGGTGACACCGACCCCCCCCAGGTGACACCACCCCACCTGGCTGTCCCCACCCAACCCACTTGAGTGTCCCCATCTGCAGGTGACCCCCACCACGTCCCTCCCTAAAGTTACCTTGTCCCCCCAAGGTGGCCATGTCCCCCCACGGTGGCCCTGTCCACCCTGTGGTGGCCTTGTGTCCCCCTGAGGTGACCGTGTCACCTGTTGAGGTGGCCTTGTCCCCCTTCCAGGGTGGTGGCCATGTCCACCCATGATGGCCATGTCCCACCAAGGTGGCCTTGTCCCCTGTGTGGTGGCCATTTCCCTCCCTGTGTTGGCCTTGTCCCCACCCTGTGGTGGCCGTGTCTCCCCCCCGAGGTGGCCGTGTCCCCCCCCCGAGGTGGCCTTGTCCCCCCGAGGTGGCCGTGTCCCCCCCGTGGTGGCCGTACCCATCTTGATGACCGTCAGGACCTCCATGATGTAATTGTCGTGGGACGGGGTCTCCTCACGGGCCACCACCCTCACCTTGTACACTGCCAGGGGACACGGGGACAGCGCTGTCACCCCCGCCAGCGTGGTCCTTCCGCGTCCCCTGTCCCCACCGTGTCCCCAATGTCCCTAATGCCACCCGCCATGACCTTTTATCATCTGATGTCCCCGATGTCCCCGAAGTCCTCATTGTCCCCATTGTCCCCAACATCTTGAATGTCCCCAATGCCCCCATTGTTCCCATTGTCCCCCAATGTCCCCACTGTCCCCATTGTCCCTGGTGTCCCCAGTGTCCCCATTGCCCCTAATGTCTCCATTGTTCCCATTATCCCCCAATGTCCCCACTGTCCCCATTGTCCCCACTGTCCCCATTGTCCCCACTGTCCCCATTGTTCCCATTGTCCCCCAATGTCCCCAATGCCCTCAATGTCCCCAATGCCCCCATTGCCCCCATTGTTCCCATTGTCCGCAATGTCCCCAATGTCCCTATTGTCCCTAGTGTCCCCATTGTCCCCACTGTCCCCATTGTCCCCATTGTTCCCATTGTCCCCATTGACCCCAATGTCCCCATTGTCCCTAGTGTCCCCATTGTTCCCAATGTCCCCGATGTCCCCAATGCCCCATTGTCCCCAGCATCCTGAATGTCCCCAATGCCCACATTGTTCCCATTGTCCCCATTGACCCCAATGTCCCCATTGTCCCCATTGTTCCCAATGTCCCCGATGTCCCCAATGCCCCATTGTCCCCAGCACCCTGAATGTCCCCAATGCCCCCATTGTTCCCATTGTCCGCAATGTCCCCAATGTCCCCATTACCCCCAATGCCCCCACTGTCCCCCAATGTCCCCATTGTCCCCACTGTCCCCATTGTCCCCACTGTCCGCATTGTCCCCGGTGTCCCCAGTGTCCCCATGTCCCACCAAAGTCCACCCCGGGCTCGCAGGCGCGCTCCATGCGTTGGTTGACGGTGATGGCCTCGGGCTTCTCCTGGCGCTTGAAGCAGCTCTCTGTGGGGACATGGGGACATCATGGGGACATCGTGGGGACATTTTGGGGACATCATGGGGACATTGTGGGGACATCGGGGGACATGGTGGGGATATCATGGGGACATCACGGGGACACAGCCACAACAAGGTGAACTGTGGCAGGGACGTGCCCCCATCATGGTGGCATGTGACATCTCATCAGTGACATGTCCCCACCAGGGTCATGACATGTCCCACCATGGCAGGGACGTGTCCCCATCATGGTGACATGTGACATCTCATCACTGATGTGTCCCCAGCAGGGTCATGACATGTCCCACCACAGCAGGGACATGTCCCATCATGGTCATAGCGTGTGACAGTTCCTCAGGGACGTGTCCCACCATGGCCATGACATGTCATGACCGTGATGTGTCCCATCGTGGTCATAGAGTGTGAAGTTCCTCAGGGACGTGTCCCACCATGGCCGTGACATGTCATGACTGTGATGTGTCCCACCATGGCTGTGACGTGTCCCATCACAGCAAGGTGTCCCCTCCTGGCCATGACATGTCCCATCATGACGGTGACACATCCCCACCATGACTATGACATGTCCCCACGATGGCCATGATGTGTCCCCATCGTGGTGACATGTGACATCTCATCAATGACGAGTCCCCACCATGGCCATGATGTGTCCCCATCGTGGTGACATGTGACATCTCATCAATGGCGAGTTCCCACCAGGGTCATGCTTTGTCCCACCACAGCAGGGACATGTCCCCATCATGGCCATGACGTGTCCCACCATGGCCATAATGTGTCCCCTCACATCAACGTGTCCCACCACGGCCATGACATGTCCCCATCATGGTGGCATGTGACATCTCATCATTGGTGTGTCCCACCATGACCGTGACGTGTGCCACCATGGCCATGACATGTCCCCATCATGGTGGCATGTGACATTCCATCATTGACATGTCCCACCATGGCCATGACATGTCCCCATCATGGTGGCATGTGACATCTCATCATTGACGTGTCCCCACCATGACCTAGATGCATCCCCGTCATAGTGACACTTGACATCTCATTGACAAGTCCCACCATGACCATTACGTGTCCCATCACATCAACGTGTCCCACCATGATTGTGACATGTCCCCATCATGGTGACATGTGACATCTCATCAGCGATGGCTCCCACCATGACCATGACATGTCCCATCACATCAACGTGTCCCACCATGACCATGACATGTCCCACCATGACCATGACATGTCCCACCATGACCGTGATGTGTCCTACCATGGCCATGGCGTGTCCCACCCTGCCAGGGCAGCCTGCCCGTTCCCGTGTCCCCATGTCCCCTGTGCCGTGTCCCATGTCCCCATGTCCCCGTGTCCCCGTGTCACCTTCGGCGCAGCGACAAACGTCCCCCTGGCAGATCTTGTTCAGCTTCCCTCCCTCCTTGTCCGGGTGGTAGAACCGCGTGCAGCGATCGTCTGCGGGGACACGGGGACATCAGGGGACACCGGGGGGACAGCGGGGGATATCAGGGGACAGCGGGGGACAGCGGGGGACACGGGGACATCAGGGGACACCGGGAGATGTGGGGACATTGGGAGACACCACCCAGGGAGCATGGAGACATGGGGACAGTGGGGACATCAGACAGGGGGACACAGGTGGCAGAGGTGACCTAGACGACATGTGACCCAGGCAACATGTGACAGAGGTGACCATCAGGGGACACCGGGGGACAGCGGGGGACAGCGGAAGATGTGGGGACATTGGGAGACATCACCCAGGGAGCATGGAGACATGGGGACAGTGGGGACATCAGACAGGGGGACACAGGTGGCAGAGGTGACCTAGACGACATGTGACACAGGCAACATGTGACAGAGGTGACAGGGATGATAGACGCGACCTGGGTGACCCAGGTGGCAGCAGGGAAAGGGACAGGGGACAGGGGTAGGGACAGGGACAGAGGGAACAGGGACAGGGGACAGGGACAGGGACAGGGACAGGGACAGGAATGGGGACAGGGGCAGGGACAGGGACAGAGGGACAGAGGGGACAGGGAGGGGACAGGGATGGGACGAGGGAACAGGGACAGGGGACAGGGACAGAACCAGAGGGACAGGAATGGGGACAGGGGCAGGGACAGGGACAGGGACAGGGGGACAGAGGGGACAGGGAGGTGACAGGGAGGGGACAGGGAGGGGACAGGGAGGGGACAGTGCCACACCGATCCTGTAGTAGCTGTAGACGCTGACGGCCGCGGGCTGGATCAGCCCCACCTGGAACCTCTGGTGGGCCTTGAAGGCGAAACACTCCTGGGCCTTGTGGGACACCTGGGGACAGCACGGGGACAGGGACAGGGACAGGGACAGGGAACAGGGACAGGGAACAGGGACAGGGACAGGGATAAGGGAGAGGGGACAGGGGACAGGGACAGGGACAGGGGACATGGGGGTGGCACTCAGACAGGCTGCGAGCCACCTCCCCAACACACCTGGTCCTGTCCCCAGTCATGTCCCCGTGCTGTCCCCACCCATCCCTGTCCTTGTCACCACCTTGAGACTGTTGCTGTCACCACCCCTGTCCCCAGCTGTGTCCTTGTCACAGCCCTGTCCCCATCCTGTCCCTGCCCATGTCCCCAACTCCATCCTGACCCCTGCCCCCGTCCTGACCCTATCCCCATCCCTGTCCCTTCACCTTGTCATTGTCCCTGTCCCCATCCCTGTCCCTGTCTCTGTCCTGTCCCTGTCCCCATCCCTGTCCCTCCACCTTGTCATTGTCCCTGTCCCCACCCCTGTCCTACCTTGTCCCTGTCCCATCGTGTCCCCACGCCATCCCCATCCTGTCCTATCCCTGTCCCACCTTGTGATTGTCCCATCTTGTCCCTGTCCCCATCCCTGTCCCTGTCCTGTCCCTGTCCCATTTTGTCCCTGTCCCATCCTGTCCTATCCCTGTCCCACCTTGTGATTGTCCCATCTTGTCCCTGTCACCATCCCAGTCCTGTCCCCACCCCCGTGTCCCCAGTGTCCCCCGTGTCCCCACCTTGTCCAGGTAAATGACGACGTTGCTCCGCTCTTTGTCCTGGTCCAGCTCGAACTTGGAGATGTACCTGACAGCAGGGACAGTGTGACACGGGGCATGGGGACAGCAGGGACAATGTGACACCGGGGACAGCGGGGACAGTGTGACACGGGGCATGGGGACAGTGGGGACAGTGTGACGTGGGCATGGGGACAGTGTGACACCGGGCACGGGGACAGCAGGGATAGCGTCACATAGGGCATGAGGACAATGTGACACCGGGGACAGCAGGGACAGTGTGACACGGGGCATGGGGACAGCAGGGACAGCATGACACCGGGGACAGCGTGACACCGGGAACAGTGTGACACCGGGGACAGTGTGACACTGGGGACAGGGTGACACTTGGCACGGGGACAGCAGGGACTGCATGACACTGGGCATGGGGACAGCGGGGACAGTGTGACACCGGGGACAGCGGGGACAGTGTGACACAGGGCATGGGGACAGAGGGGACGGCGGGGACAGGGGGACACCGGGGACAGCGGGGACAGTGTGACACCAGGGACAGCAGGGACAGCGTGACACCGGGGACAGTGGGACAGTGTGACATGGGGCACGGGGACACCGGGGACAGTGTGACAGCGGGGACAGCATGACACCGGGGACAGTGGGGACAGTGTGACAGTGGGGACAGCGTGACACCAGGGACAGAAGGGACAGTGTGACACGGGGCATGGGGACACTGGGGACAGCATGACACCGGGGACAGCGTGACACTGGGGACAGCGGGGACAGCGTGATACTGGGGACAGCAGGGATAGTGTGACACAGGGCGTGGGGGACATGTGGGGACAATAGGAATGTGGGACATCAGGGACATTGTGACACTGGGACACAGGACACGTGGGGACATTCAGGGACATGCAGGGACACAGAATGTCCCCCAGTGTCCCCATGTCCCCCATGTGTCCCCATGTCCCCTGTGTGTCCCCATGTCCCCACACTGACCCTCCTCAGGTCCTGCACGTCTGGTGAGAATCCGGTGAGCATGGTGACGTCCAGGATGGACATGGTGGCATCCACGGTGTCCAGGTACCTGTGGGGACACAGCTGAGGCCACCCCCGCCTGTCCCCAACCCCCGCAGCCTCCCCAGTGTCCCCGTCCCCGACGTCACCATCCCCATGGAACAAGGCGAGTGCTTTTTGTCCCCAGTGTCACCGTCCTTGTCCCTGCTGTCCCCAATGTCCCCAGCGTCCTTCTCCTTTCCCTGCTGTCCCTGCCGTCCCCAATGTCCCCAGTGTCCCTCCATCCCATTCCCCGCCCTGTCCCTGCTGTCCCCAATGTCCCCATCCTTTCCCTGCTGTCCCCAATGTCCCTATTTTCCTCCCTATCCCCAATGTCCCTTCCTCCCCTTCCCATGTCCCTGCTGTCCCCATCCTTTCCCCAATGTCCCCAATGTCCCCAATGTTCCAGTGTTCCCAGTGTCCCCAATGTCCCCAATGTCCCCAGTGTCCCCAATGTTCCCAATGTCCCCAATGTTCCCAATGTCCCCAGTGTCCCCAATGTCCCTGTCCTTTCCCTGATGTCCCTGTCCCCAACATACCCTCCCTGTCCCCAATGTCCTCACTCTGTCCTTGCTGTCCCCAATGTCCCCATCCTTTCCCTGCTGTCCCTGCTGTCCCCAATGTCCCCGTTTTCCTCCTTGTCCCCAATGTCCCTTCCTCCCCTTCCCCTCCCTGTCCCCAATGTCCCCAGTGTCCCCAGTGTCCCCAGTGTCCCCAGTGTCCCCAGTGTCCCCAGTGTCCCCAGTGTCCCCAGTGTCCCCAGTGTCCCCAGTGTCCCCAGTGTCCCCAGTGTCCCCAGTGTCCCCAGTGTCCCCAGTGTCCCCAGTGTCCCCAGTGTCCCCAGTGTCCCCAGTGTCCCCAGTGTCCCCAGTGTCCCCAGTGTCCCCAGTGTCCCCAGTGTCCCCAGTGTCCCCAGTGTCCCCAGTGTCCCCAGTGTCCCCAGTGTCCCCAGTGTCCCCAGTGTCCCCAGTGTCCCCAGTGTCCCCAGTGCCCCCAGTGTCCCCAATGTCCCCATCCTTTCCCTGCTGTCCCTGCTGTCCTCAATGTCCCCGTTTTCCTCCTTGTCCTCAATGTCCCTTCCTCCCCTTCCCCTCCCTGTCCCCAATGTCCCCACTGATCCCAATGTCCCCACCCTCTCCCTGATGTCCCTGTCCCCAACATCCCCTCCCTGTCCCTGCTGTCCCCAGTGTCCCCAGTGCCCCCAGTGTCCTTAATGTCCCCAGTGTCCCCAATGTCCCTAATGTCCCCAGTGTCCCCAATGTCCCCAGTGTCCCCAGTGTCCCCAGTGTCCCCAATGTCCCCAGTGTCCACAATGTCCCCAATGTCCCCAGTGTCCCCACCTGGTGCAGATGGTGATCTTCACAGACCTGATGACATCCTCCTCTTCCTTGCCTGATGGGGACAAGGAGGTGACATCAAAGGTGACACGGGGCGCACACGGGGGGACACGGGGAGTGGCTCGTGGTGACGCAGCGAGGACAGGGAGGGGACAGCTGGGGACTCACCCGTGTTGACCTCCTCCACGTCCACGCTCAGGTCGAAGTTGTCACATTTGTCATCCTTCTCGGGGACCTTGGCGTGGTACACGGTCACCACTGTCATTGTCCCCTTGCCCACGCCCTCGGCCTTGACCGTGAAGTCCTCGTTCAGCTTGGTCTGAGGGGACAGGGGACATTGAGAGGGGACACTGGGAGGGGACAGGGGACATTGGGAGGGGACAGGTGATAGGGGACATTGGGAAAGGACAGGGGACAGGTGACATTGTGAGGGGACAGGGGACATTGGGAGGGGACAGGGGACACTGGAAGGGGACAGGGGGCATTGGGAGGGGACAGGGACATTGTGAGGGGACAGGGACATTGGGAGGGGACAGGGGGAATTTGGGAGGGGACAGGGACATTGGGAGGGGACAGGGGATGTTGGGAGGGGACAGGGGACACTGGGAAGGGACAGGGGACATTGGGAGGGGACAGGGGACATCCCCAGGAGGGACAGGCAGAGGTGTGGGGGCGTGCGGGGACATGGAGGGGACAGGCAGGACACAGGGGGTGGCAGCGCTGCGGAGCTAGAGGGGACAGGGACGGTGAAGGACACGGAGGGGACACGGAGGTCAGGAGGACAGGGAGGTGACAAGGACATTGCAGGCCACAGCACGGGAGGGGACAAGGCCAGCCTGGGCCATCCCAAGACTTGAGAGGACACAGAGGTGACAGGACATGGAGGGGACATGGAAGGGACAACGGTGGCCATGGCGATGGGATGGGATTATCCAATGAGGACACCCAGAGGTGACAGTGCCAGGTGACAATGCCAGGTGCCAGGGACAGGGACAAGGTGACAGGTGCCAGGGTGACAAGGTGACAGGTGACTAGGTGACAAGGTCAGCCTGGGCCATCCCAAGAATTGAGAGGACACAGAGGGGACAGGACATGGAAGGAACAACGGGGGCCATGGTGATGGGACGGGATTATCCAACGAGGAGACCCAGAGGTGACAGTGCCAGGTGCCAGGTGACAATGCCAGGTGACACTGCCAGGTGAGAGGTGACAGGGACAGGTGCTAGGGACAGGTACCTCGGCGGAGCGTGCCACCAGCGCGTTGCTGTTCTTGATGCGGTACTTGATGGGGCTGGCGCGGCGCGGCAGCAGCACCGACACGTCCAGCTCCAGCTGCTGCTGGGCCTCCGTGGCCACCTGGTACTGGGCCAGAGCTTGAAACACCAGGATGGTGGCCTGAGGGGACATCGGGGTCACCAGGCCTTGGGGACACCCGCTGTGTGTCCACCTGGTACTGGGCCAGCGCTTGGAACACCAGGATGGTGGCCTGAGGGGACATCGGGGTCACCAGGCCTTGGGGACACCCGCTGTGTGTCCACCTGGTACTGGGCCAGCGCTTGGAACACCAGGATGGTGGCCTGAGGGGACATCGGGGTCACCAGGCCTTGGGGACACCCGCTGTGTGTCCACCTGGTACTGGGCCAGCGCTTGGAACACCAGGATGGTGGCCTGAGGGGACATCGGGGTCACCAGGCCTTGGGGACACCCGCTGTGTGTCCACCTGGTACTGGGCCAGCGCTTGGAACACCAGGATGGTGGCCTGAGGGGACATCGGGGTCACCAGGCCTTGGGGACACCCGCTGTGTGTCCACCTGGTACTGGGCCAGCGCTTGGAACACCAGGATGGTGGCCTGAGGGGACATCGGGGTCACCAGGCCTTGGGGACACCCGCTGTGTGTCCACCTGGTACTGGGCCAGCGCTTGGAACACCAGGATGGTGGCCTGAGGGGACATCGGGGTCACCAGGCCTTGGGGACACCCGCTGTGTGTCCACCTGGTACTGGGCCAGCGCTTGGAACACCAGGATGGTGGCCTGAGGGGACATCGGGGTCACCAGGGCTTGGGGACACCAGCTCTGTCCACCTGGTACTGGGTCAGTGTTTGGAACACCAGGATGGTGGCCTGAGGGGACACTGGGGTCACCAGGGCTTGGGGACACTGGTGGAGAGCCCACAAGGGCTCCTGAGTGGCCTCAGGGGACACTGCTGTCACCAGGGCTTGGGGACATCAGCTGGAGCACCCCCAAAGTCTTCTGAGTGGCCTTTGGCTCCTGTGCCACCAAAGACGTCCCCAAAAAGACAACGCCCATCCCTGTCACCTCCAGCGCCACCAGGTGCCCCCGAGATGTCCCCGCGGGCGGCCGGGGTGTCCCGTGTCCCACCTGGGTGGAGCCGTAGCCCCCTCCGTAGTAGTTCTGCTGGGCGAGCCACCGGACCACCGGCCCGGCCAGCTCCGACTTCTTCATCTGCACCAGCGCCAGCAGCGCGTAGGACGTGCCCTCGATGTTGTAGGTGCGGGCGTTGTGCTCCTCCCAGCTGGCCCCACCTGCGGGGACATCGGGGACACCTCCAGCCACCAGGGACCCCCATGGCCACCTCAGCCCAGCCCCAGATTACAGCCCCGGGTGAGGCGTTATCTCAGGAGGATCCAAAACCACTTCTGGAGAACCTCAGGAGGACCCAAAACCCTCTTCCCTCACCCCAGTTTCAACCTTTTCAACCCCAAGGTGAGGTGTCATCTTTGAGAACCTCAGGAGGACCCAAAACCACCTTCCCTGACCCCAAATTCCAACCCTGGGTGAGGATTCAGTTCTGGAGAACCTCAGGAGAACCCAAAACCAGCTTTGGAGAATTTCGTGAGAACCCAAAACCACCTCTCCTAACCCCAATTCCAACCCTTTCCACACAAAGGGGAGATGTCACCTTTGGAGAACCTCATGAGGACCCAAACCCACCACCTTTCACCCCAATTTTTACCTGGCCTGGTGAGGTGTCACATTTGAAGAACCTCATGAAGACCCCAAACCCACCCCCTTTCACCCCAGTTTTGACCCCTCTTGAGACATCACCTTTGGAGAACCTCATAAAGACCCAAACCCACCACTTTTCACCCCAATTTTGACCCCTGTTGAGATGTCACCTTTAGAGAACCTCATGAGGATCCTCTCAGTCTTGAGCTTCCCGGCCAGGGCCAGCGCGTAGGACGCCAGGGCCACCGTGTAGGGCCGGGTCAGCTGCTCGTAGCGCCGGGCCAGGAATCCGGCGGCTTTGTTGATGCTCTCGTCCAAGTTCTGGGAAGCAAGGATGGAAAATTTGGGATCTCAGGTGGCTTCCATGATGGTCTGGCACCTCAGGAATGTCCCTGTCCCCACGAGGGGTCACTCACGTTGACGTGGTCCTTGCAGGTGTCCCGTGCCTCCTCCAGGGCGATGAGGACGAAGGCGGTGAGGGACACCTCGGGCTCGGCGCCTTGGTAGCCTCCCTGTGGGACAAAAAAGAGGGAAAAAACCTCGGGATTGGGGTTTTCAAAGAGCTCGGTGGTCCACCAGCAGCTCATTCCAAAGATCTGTCCTTGACTGGTCTGAGGGACACCCAAGGGACAGCCAAGGGACACTAAATGTCACCCAAGGGACATCCAAAGAATATCTGACCTTCACCTGACCTTCAGGTGAGGGACACTCAAGGGACAATCAAGGGACACCCAAGGGACACCCAAGGGGCACCCAAAAGTCATCCAAGGGACATCCAAAGAACATTTGACCTTCATCTGACCTTCAGGTGAGGGACACTCAAGGGACAATCAAGGGACACCCAAGGGACACCCAAGGGACACTCGAATGTCACCCAAGGGACATCCAAAGAATATCTGACCTTCATGTGACCTTCACATGAGGAACACTCAAGGGACACCCAAGGAACGCTCAAGGGACAATCAAGGGGCACCCAAACTTCACCCAAGGTACATCCAAGGGACACCCAAAGGACATCCTAAATTTGCCAAAGGGACACCCAAAAAACACCCAAGGGACAGCCAAGGGACACTCGAATGTCACCCAAGGACATCCAAAGAATATCTGACCTTCACCTGACCTTCAGGTGTGGAACACCCAAAAAACACCCAAGGGACACCCAAGGGACACTAAATGTCACCCAAGGGACATCCAAAGAATATCTGACCCTCACATGACCTTCATGTGAGGAACACTCAAGGGACAGCTAAGGGACACTCAAACTTCTGACCATCCAAAGAATATCTGACCTTCACCTGACCTATACCTGACCTTCAGGTGAGGAACACTCAAGGGACACTCAAGGGACACCCAAGGGACACCCAAGGGACACTAAATGTCACCCAAGGGACATCCAAAGAATATTTGACCTTCATCTGACCTTCACATGAGGAACATCCAAGGGACACTCAAGGGACACTCAAAGAACACCCAAGGGACACCAAATGGATGCCCAGTGGACACCCAAAAAAACACCCAAGGGATAGCCAAGGAACACCCAATGAATGTTTGCTCTTCACCTGACCTTCACCCAAGGAATGCCAAAGGAAATTTCTGAGGTTTACTTGACCTTCACCTAAGGAACGCCCAAGGAACGCCCAAGCAACACCTGACCTTCACCCAAGGAACACCCAAAACCCACCCAAACTTCAACCAAGGACCACTCAAAGAATTCCTGAGGTTCACCTGACCATCACCCAAGGAATGCCCAAGGAACACCTGACTTTCAGCCAAGGGACACTCAAAGAATTCCTGAGGTTCACCTGACCTTCACCCGAGAAACACCCAAGGAACACCCAAACTTCACCAGACTTTCACCCAAAACCCACACAAAAACTCCCACCCTCCACCCTTGGTCCCCCAAGCTTTGGCCACCAGCAGTGACAGGGTTGAGGGGTCCCCCTACCACCATCTCCTTATGGATGACGGGCGCGTCCTCCTGGAAGACCCCGTCTGGCTTCTGCTTGTTGAGGATGAGCCACTTGAGGGGGCCGCAGATCTCGCCGTGCTCGATGTCCGTCAGCTTCCTGGCCATGGCGAACACCTTGACCACGTAGGCGGTCAGCCTGGGGATGGGGACACTTGAGTGTCACATCCGCCCTTGTCACCTGGTCTGGGTGTTGGTGGTGGTGGCAGCAGGTCCCTCACCAGGTGCTGGAGGGGCGGTTGATGAAGGCGGCGTAGGAGCTGTCGGGCTTGCGGAAGGCCAACTGTTGGGTGTAACCTGTGAGGAGATGGCCGTTGGTCAACACGTGGGGTGTTATGGGTGGGCTTCAGGCCACCAATGCCCTCCAACTGTTGGTCAATATGAGGGGTGGCCTCAGGCCACCAATGTTCTCCAGCTGTTGGTCAACATGAGAGGTGGCCACCTCGGATGATAGGGACCTTTTGTGACCCAAGACAGGACACCGAGGGACAGTCCCACCACTTTGGGGGCCATTCCCACCATTTTGAGGATAGTCCCACCACTTTTGTGGCTGTTCCCACCATTTTGAGAACACTCCCACCACTTTCGGGGACATTCCCACCATTTTGAGGACATTCCTACCACTTTGAGGACATTCCTACCACTTTGAGGACATTCCTCCCAATCTGGGGACATTGCCACCCTTTTTAGGGTCATTCCCACCATTTTGAAGACATTCCCACCACTTTTATCGCCATTCCCACCATTTTGAGGACATTCCCACCACTTTGAGGACATTCCTCCCAATCTGGGGACATTGCCACCCTTTTTAGGGTCATTCCCACCACTTTCGGGGCTGTTCCCACCATTCTGAGGACATTCCCACCACTTTTATTGCCATTCCCACCATTTTGAGGATATTCCTACCACTGTTGTGAGTTCCCACCATTTTGAGGATAGTCCCACCACTTTTGTGGCTGTTCCCACCATTTTGAGAACACTCCCACCACTTTCGGGGACATTCCCACCATTTTGAGGACATTCCCACCACTTTCGGGGACATTCTCACCATTTTGAGAACACTCCCACCACTTTCGGGGACATTCCCACCATTTTGAGGACATTCCCACCACTTTCGGGGCTGTTCGCACCATTCTGAGGACATTCCCGCCACTTTTATTGCCATTCCCACCATTTTGAGGACATTCCTACCACTTTGAGGACATTCCTCCCAATTTGGGGACATTCCCACCCTTTTTAGGGTCATTCCCACCACTTTCGGGGCTGTTCGCACCATTCTGAGGACATTCCCGCCACTTTTATTGCCATTCCCACCATTTTGAGGACATTCCTACCACTTTGAGGACATTCCTCCCAATTTGGGGACATTCCCACCCTTTTTAGGGTCATTCCCACCACTTTCGGGGCTGTTCCCACCATTCTGAGGACATTCCCACCACTTTTATTGCCATTCCCACCATTTTGATGACATTCCCACCATATTTGGTGCCGTTCCCACCACTTGTACCTGTCCCCACCACTTTCGGTGCCATTCCTACCACTTTTGTTGCCATTCCCACCATTTTGAGGACACTCCCACCACATTTGGTGCCGTTCCCACCATTTGTACCCATCCCCACCACTTTCGGTGCCATTCCTCCCACTTTTGTTGCCATTCCCACCATTTTGAGGATACTCCCACCACATTTGGTGCCGTTCCCACCATTTGTACCCATCCCCACCACTTTCGGTGCCATTCCTCCCACTTTTGTTGCCATTCCCACCATTTTGAGGACACTCCCACCACTTTCAGTGCCATTCCCACCACTTTTGGGGCCGTTCCCACCTTTCTTGATCAGCTCGATGGCCCCCGCCCGGCGGTCGATGCCAAAGTTCTCCCACTGCTCGGTGCTGTCCAGGTAGTGGACGGCGATGACCGTCGGGGTCATGGCGATCATGTTCTGCTCCCCACAACCCGACGGCGTCACGATCAGGTGCTTCAGCTTGGCCCCATCGATGGCCTTCTCCACGATGATGGACACGGGGTTGCCTGGGCCCGGAGAGGACGCGTCACGCTCAAGATGTCCCACCTGTCCCCTCCCTCCAGGTTGTCCCCAGGTGTCCTCTCCTTGGTGCTCACCCTGGATGCTGACTTTGGTCTCCGACTCGGTGTTGGGGACGATGTCCGACAGGTCGGCGGCCTTCACCCGCTCCTCCTGCACCCCGTCTGTGGGGTGGGGTGGACGTGGGTGACCCCAAATGCTCCCCGTGTCCCACCCCCCTGAGGTGACCCAGCCCCACCCCACATCAGGGTGTCCCTTGTCCCTCCAGACCACACCGGGATGGCCCTTGTCCCTTGGGATGCCCCAGCTCTGTGGTGGGATGCCCCTTGTCCTCAAAATTGTCCCAAACCTGATCTTGGAGGTGCCTTCTTGATTCCCAAAGATGTCCTAGACCCACTGTGGGATCTCTCTGGTTCCCAAAGATGTCCCAAACCCAAAGCTGAATCTCCCCATTCCCCAAAGATGTCCCAAAGCCACCGTGGGACCTCCCTGGTCCCCAAAGATGTCCCAAAGCCTCCGTAGGACCTCCCTGGTCCCCAAAGATGTCCCAAAGCCACCGTGGGAGCTCCCTGGTCCCCAGAGATGTCCCAAATCCACAGTAGGATCTCCTTGATCCCCAAAGATGTACCCAAAGCCACCATGGGATATTTCTGATCTCCAGGGATGTCCCAAAGCCACCGTGGGACCTCTCTGGTCCCCAAAGATGTCTCAAAGCCTCCGTGGAACCTCCCTGGTCCCCAAAGATGTCCCAAAGCCACCGTGGGAGCTCCCTGGTCCCCAAAGATGTCCCAAAGCCACCATGGGAGCTCCCTGGTCCCCAAAGATGTCCCAAAGCCACCGTGGGACTTCCCTGGTCCCCAGAGATGTCCCAAATCCACAGTAGGATCTCCTTGATCCCCAAAGATGTACCCAAAGCCACCATGGGATATTTCTGATCTCCAGAGATGTCCCAAAGCCACTGTGGGACCTCTCTGGTCCCCAAAGATGTCCCAGAGCCTCCGTGGGACCTCCCTGGTCCCCAAAGATGTCTCAAAGCCTCCGTGGAAGCTCCCTGGTCCCCAAAGATGTCCCAAAGCCACCGTGGGACCTCCCTGGTCCCCAAAGATGTCCCAAAGCCACCGTGGGAGCTCCCTGGTCCCCAAAGATGTCCCAAAGCCACCATGGGAGCTCCCTGGTCCCCAAAGATGTCCCAAAGCCACCGTGGGAGCTCCCTGGTCCCCAAAGATGTCCCAAAGCCACCATGGGAGCTCTCTGGTCCCCAGAGATGTCCCAAAGCCACCGTGGGAGCTCCCTGGTCCCCAAAGATGTCCCAAAGCCACCATGGGAGCTCCCTGGTCCCCAAAGATGTCCCAAAGCCACCGTGGGAGCTCCCTGGTCCCCAGAGATGTCACTCACTGACTCCCTTGTTCTGCGGGTCCAGCTCGACGATCTTCACCGTCTTCTCCAGCCGCATCCCCTCGGGCTGTCCAGGGCAGAGTCCAGCGCTGAAGGTGGGGTTGGGTCTGGGGTCCTCCCCTTCCCAACCCCTCTGGACCACTGGGAGAGGCCTCCCAGTACAAACCAGTACCCCCAGTGACACACAGGAACAACCCCAGGAGGCCACACTGGGTCATACATGTCACTGAGGTCCTGGAGACCCTGAGGTCACTCTTGTGTCTTGATCAAATTCATTGTGTGGCCACCAGCCTGGCCTTGGTGACCCCATCCAGATCATCAATGCAGATATTGATTGAAAATACCAAATCAATAAGGATATCAAGTCCCATGATCAGCCTGATCTCTCCTGATAATCAATGAAGATAATGATTAAAAATATCAAATCAATAGGAATATCAAGTCCCATGGTCAGCCTGACCTTGGTGACCCCATCCAGGTCATCAATGCAGATATTGATTGAAAATACCAAATCAATAAGGATATCAAGTCCCACAGTCAGCCTGATCCCATCCAGATCATCAACGCAGATATTGATTAAAAATACCAAATCAATAAGGGTATCAAGTCCCATAGTCAGCCTGATCCCATCCAGTCATCAATGAAGATATTGATTAAAAATATCAAATCAATAAGGGCATCAAGTCCCATGGTCATCCTGACCTTGGTGACCCCATCATGATCATCAATGAAAGTATTGATTAAAAATACCAAATCAATAACGCTACCAAACCAACCTGGCCACACACTGCCCCCTTGTGGCCACCACGTGTCACTGGCCGTGCCACCACCCGCCACCACCCTCTGCTGTGGTGGCCCTGGGCCACCCTCGGTGGCCGCCCAACCACCAAAGAACAACACACGGATGCCACCACGCTGGGGACATCTCACCAACGGAAGTGCCACCACCACAACCATCGTGGCCACTCACCACAACTCGGAGCTTCTTCTTGACCCCGTCGCCCACGTACTGGTTGCGGACGGCCGCCTTGACCTCGATGTCCAGCAGGCCGAGCTTGAGGGGGACGATGACGAAGGACACGGTGCGCGAGGACTCGGCCTTCATCCTCAGGACCTGCTGGAAGCGCCGCTTGGCCGTGGAGGGGCTGCACAGGTCGGGGTTGTAGACCAGCTCCACGCGCACCTGGACGGTGACAGGGAGGTCACACCTGAGGTCCGGAGAGAGGGTGATGGCGTCCCCAAAAAATGTCCCCAAACTGACCGTGATGTCGTGCAACCAGTAGTTGTAGAGGATGGCACGGATCTCCACCTGCTCGTTCCTCACCACCGAGTAGGGCAGGCGGAGGTCAATGAAGAACTCCTTCATCACCGTGATCTCGTAGGGGTCGGCCACGCACAGCCCTGGGGTGGGGGACACGCGGGGGGTTGGGGTTGGGGGACACCTCGTGTCACCAAGGAGCCCCGAGGTCTTCAGAGGTCCCTGGAAGTCCAGGGAGTCCTCACAAGGTTTAGGAGATCCATCAAAACCCATGTTCTTCCCAAAGTTTAGGGGATCCATCAAGACCCACAGAGTCCTCCCAAGGTTTAGGAGATCCATCAAGACCCACAGAGTCCTCCCAAGGTTTAGGGGATCCATCAAGACCCACAGAGTCCTCCCAAGGTTTAGGGGATCCATCAAGACCCACAGAGTCCTCCCAAGGTTTAGGAGACCCCTTGAATCCCAAAGTTTAGAAGATCCCTCAAGTTCCACGGAGATCCCTCAAATCCCAAGGATGGTCACCAAGCTTTGGGGCATCTCTAGGGCAGGCGGAGGTCAATGAAGAACTCCTTCATCACCGTGATCTCGTAGGGGTCGGCCACGCACAGCCCTGGGGTGGGGGACACGCGGGGGGTTGGGGTTGGGGGACACCTCGTGTCACCAAGGAGCCCCGAGGTCTTCAGAGGTCCCTGGAAGTCCAGGGAGTCCTCACTCCCTCAGATTTTGGAGATCCCTCAAATCCCAGTGAACCCCTCCAGGCTTTAGGAGACCCTTCAGGTCTCAGGGACCCCCCACAAGGTTTGGGGACATTCCGTTGACCCCAGGAACCCCCTTGTCCTCCATGACCCCGTACCTTTGGAGGGGGAGAGGCTGACCGCCAGGACCTCCCAGGTAGTGATGGAGTCCTTCAGGTACACGGGCAGCGTCTTGGCCGAGACCCTGGAGAGGACGGGAGCGACCAAGGGGGTCGTGGCCCACCCCAGGCCAGGCTCAGGGAGTGTCACCATGGGACTTCCCTGGTCCCCAAAGATATCCCAAACACACAGTTGGACTTTTCTGGTCCCCAAAAATGTTCCAAACCCACAGTGGGACTTCCTTTAGTCCCCAAAGATATCCCAGACCCACAGACCCCCCCCAAGCAGGACCAGGAGCTTGGAGATGACCCCTGAGTGGACCAAAAACTCCTGAGTGGACCAGGAGATTAGCAGTGACCTTTGTCTGGATTTGGGGTGACCATAACTGATCTCCAGAGATGTCCAAGCTGGATGGGGACAGGGTGACCATGCCCAGGCTGGGCCATGGGGTGGGTGGGTGGTGGGACAGGAGGTCCAGGCTCACCCCAGCTCGTTGGGTGGCTCCGTCAGCTGCTCCACCTGCCACAGCCAACTCTCGGGGAAGAGGCTCCGTGAGACGATGTCCGAGTCCTCCAAGAACGGATCGTCGTCCTCATGGCCTGGGGGTGGTGGCATCGGCCCTCTCGAACGTGGCCTCAGGGCTGAGACCCCTGAGCGGAGCCGGTATCACACCAGCGCCACCCAGTGTCACCCCAGCACCACCCAGTGTCACCCCAACACCACCCAGTGTCACCCCAGTGCCACCCCTTGTCTTGCCCAAGGTCACCCAACTGCCACCCAAGTATTGCCTGATGAGTTGTCCAAGGATCACATAAGGAATGCCCAAGGGCCACTTGAGCTTCACGCAAGGAATGCCCCAAACCCACCCAAGGCCCTCCCAACCTTCACCCAAGCTCCACCTGAGGAGAACCCAAGGAATACCTGAGGTTCACGTGACCTTCTACCAAGGAAAGTCTTCCAAGAACGGATCGTCGTCCTCATGGCCTGGGGGTGGTGGCATCGGCCCTCTCGAACGTGGCCTCAGGGCTGAGACCCCTGAGCGGAGCCGGTATCACACCAGCGCCACCCAGTGTCACCCCAGTGCCACCCCTTGTCTTGCCCAAGGTCACCCAACTGCCACCCAAGTATTGCCTGATGAGTTGTCCAAGGATCACATAAGGAATGCCCAAGGGCCACTTGAGCTTCACGCAAGGAATGCCCCAAACCCACCCAAGGCCCTCCCAACCTTCACCCAAGCTCCACCTGAGGAGAACCCAAGGAATACCTGAGGTTCACGTGACCTTCCAGCAAGGAAAGTCCAAGGAACACTCAAGGAGCACCCAAGAAATACCCAAGGTTCACCTGACCTTAGTCCAAGGAATACCCAAGGAACACCCAAAGAACATTCAAGGAACACCCAAGGAATACCCAAGGAACACCCAGAATTCACCTGACCTTCCCCCAAGGAACACCCAAGGAACACCTGACCTTCCTCCAAGGAAAGTCCAAGGAACATCCAAGGAATGCCCAAAGAACACCCAAGGAACGCCCAAAGTTTGCCTGATCTACACCAAGGAACACCCAAGGAACATCCAACCTTCACCCAAACTTTGCTCAAGCTCATCTTCACCTGGGGTCCACCAAGGAACACCCAAACCCCACCCAAGACCGTCCCAACCTTCACCCAAGCTCCTTTCCCCAAGGAACACCCAAGGAACACATGACCTTCCTCCAAGGAAAGTCCAAGGAACATCCAAGGAATGCCCAAAGAACACCCAAAGAACACCCACGGTTCACCTGATCTACACCAAGGAACACCCAAGGAACATCCAACCTTCACCCAAACTTTGCTCAAGCTCACCTTCACCTGAGGTCCACCAAGGAACACCCAAACCCCACCCAAGACCGTCCCAACCTTCACCCAAGCTCCACCTGAGAAGCACCCAAGGAATACCTGAGGTTCACCTGACCTTCCACCAGGGAAAGTCCAAGGAACACTCAAGGAACGCCCAAGGAACGCCCAAGGAACACCCAAAGTTTGCCTGAACTTCACCAAGGAACACCCAAGGAACACCCAACCTTCACCCAAACTTTGCTCAAGCTCACCTTCACCTGAGGTCCACCAAGGAACACCCAAACCCCACCCAAGACCCTTCACCTAAGCTCCACCCGAGGTTCCTCCAACCTCCCCCAACCTTCTCCCACCCTCCATGACCCAACACTTGCTTCTGGCCAGCCCGGTGCTGGGTGAGAAGTTCTGCTGGTCCCGCTTGGCCTTGATGTATCTGCAGCAGTCGAGGAAGGCACGGACGCAGGCCTCGCCCTCCTGGATGTACTCGGTCCTCTGCTCGCAGCTGTGTCCCATCGGGTTGTCCTTCATCCCGTCCTGGCAGCACTTCCTCTCCAGCTTGTCCGAGTACTCGGCCGCTGGTGGACACCAGGACAGGGCTGGGACAAGCCCTGGTGGCTCTTTGGGACATGGGGACCTCGGGGTGTGGGACATTCTGGTGGCTCTTTGGGACATGGGGACCTTGGGGGTGTGGGACACTCCGGGGGTGTGGGACACTCTGGTGGCTCTCAGGGACATGGGGACCTCGGGGGTGTGGGACACTCTGGTGGCTCTCGGGAATGGGGACATTGGGGGTGTGGGACATTCTGGGGGCTCTCAGGAATGGGGACCTCGGGGGTGTGGGACACTCTGGTGGCTCTCGGGAATGGGGACATTGGGGGTGTGGGACATTCTGGTGGTTCTTGGGAGTGGGGACCTCAAGGGTGTGGGACATCCTGGTGGCTCTTGGGACATGGGGACATTGGGGGTGTGGGACATCCTGGTGGCTCTCAGGAATGGGGCCCTCGGGGGTGGGGGACATCCTGGTGGCTCTCAGGAATGGGGCCCTCGGGGGTGGGGGACATCCTGGTGGCTCTCAGGAATGGGGCCCTCGGGGGTGGGGGACATCCTGGTGGCTCTCAGGAATGGGGCCCTCGGGGGTGGGGGACATCCTGGTGGCTCTCAGGAATGGGGCCCTCGGGGGTGGGGGACATCCTGGTGGCTCTCAGGAATGGGGCCCTCGGGGGTGGGGGACATCCTGGTGGCTCTCAGGAATGGGGCCCTCGGGGGTGGGGGACATCCTGGTGGCTCTCAGGAATGGGGCCCTCGGGGGTGGGGGACATCCTGGTGGCTCTCAGGAATGGGGCCCTCGGGGGTGGGGGACATCCTGGTGGCTCTCAGGAATGGGGCCCTCGGGGGTGGGGGACATCCTGGTGGCTCTCAGGAATGGGGCCCTCGGGGGTGGGGGACATCCTGGTGGCTCTCAGGAATGGGGCCCTCGGGGGTGGGGGACATCCTGGTGGCTCTCAGGAATGGGGCCCTCGGGGGTGGGGGACATCCTGGTGGCTCTCAGGAATGGGGCCCTCGGGGGTGGGGGACATCCTGGTGGCTCTCAGGAATGGGGCCCTCGGGGGTGGGGGACATCCTGGTGGCTCTCAGGAATGGGGCCCTCGGGGGTGGGGGACATCCTGGTGGCTCTCAGGAATGGGGCCCTCGGGGGTGGGGGACATCCTGGTGGCTCTCAGGAATGGGGCCCTCGGGGGTGGGGGACATCCTGGTGGCTCTCAGGAATGGGGCCCTCGGGGGTGGGGGACATCCTGGTGGCTCTCAGGAATGGGGCCCTCGGGGGTGGGGGACATCCTGGTGGCTCTCAGGAATGGGGCCCTCGGGGGTGGGGGACATCCTGGTGGCTCTCAGGAATGGGGCCCTCGGGGGTGGGGGACATCCTGGTGGCTCTCAGGAATGGGGACATTGGTGCTGTGGGACACTCTGGTGGCCCTCTGGGATGTGGGAAACTCTGTTGGCTTTTTGGGACATGGGGACCTTGGAGGTGTGGGACACTCTGGTGGCCTTTGGGACAGCAGATGCTGCAGGACATGGGACACTGGTGTCCCTCAGGGTCCTGGGACAATTTAGCAGCCTCAGGGACAAGGAACACCCAGGTGACCTCGAGGACAAGGGGCACCCTGGTGACCCCTGGGGACAAGGGACATCCCAGTGCCACCTACCCTTGGTGCCCTTGTACTCGGCGAGTGCCAGCGAGCGGCGCTTGCGTTTGGCCGGCTGGGGACACTGGACCTCTGGGGACAGAGGGGACATTGGTCAGGACCCCAAAGTGTCCCACGTGTCACATCTCAAAGTTCAGGGTCACCTCCCCCATCCCTGAGGTGTCACCTCCCCATCCCTGAGGTGTCACACCCCTGAGGTGTCACCATCCCCATCTCCCTAAATGTCACCGCTCCCCTTCCTGAAGTGTCACATCCCTGGTCCCTGAGGTGCCACATGCTTCAAGTGCCCCATCCACCATCCCTGAGATGTCACCTCCCCCATCCCTGAGGTGCCACATGCTTGAAAGGTCGCCCCCAACACCCCTGCAACGTCCCCTCCCCCATCCCTGAGGTGTCACCTCCCCATCCCTGAGGGGTCACACCCCTGAGGTGTCACCATCCCCATCTCCCTAAATGTCACCGCTCCCATTCTTGAAGTGTCACATCCCTGGTCCCTGAGGTGCCACATGCTTCAAGTGCCACATCCACCATCCCTGAGATGTCACCTCCCCCATCCCTGAGGTGTCACCTCCCCATCCCTGAGGTGTCACACCCCTGAGGTGTCACCTCCCCCATCCCTGAGATGTCATCTTCTCTGTCCCTGACATGTCACCTCTCCCATCCCCAAGGTGTCACCTCCCCCATCCCTGAGGTGCCACATGTTTCAAGTGCCACGTCCACCATCCCTGAGATGTCACCTCCTCCAACCCCGAGGTGCCACCTCCTCCACCATCTCCTGTGGTGCCACCCCAAGGTGCCACCTCTGTGAGATGCCACCTCCCTGAGGTGCCACCCCCTGTCCCCGAGGTGCCACCCCAGCTGTCCCACCTGACCGCTGGGGCGTGGTGACCTTGACGCTGGTGGTCAGGCTCAGGCCAGCGTCCGCGAAGACCCCGACGTTGTCCCTGCCGCTGCCCGGCGTGCAGCCGATGTCACTTTTCTCCACCGTGTCCCAAACCTGCGCCCACAGGGGACAGCTGTGATGGCCACTGCCACCATCCAAGGACAGTGGGGACAGCTGTGATGGCCACTGCCACCATCCATGGACAGTGGGGACAGCTGTGATGGCCACTGCCACCATCCATGGACAGTGGGGACAGCTGTGACAGCCACTGCCACCATCCATGGACAGTGGGGACAGCTGTGACGGCCACTGCCACCATCCATTGACGGTGGGGACAGCTGTGATGGCCACTGCCACCACCCAAGGACGATGGGGACAGCTGTGACAGCCACTGCCACCATCCATGGACAGTGGGGACAGCTGTGACGGCCACTGCCAACATCCGGGGCCGAAGGGGACAGCTGTGATGGCCACTGCCACCACCCAGGGACAGCAGGACAGCCATGACGGCCACTGCCATCATCCATGGACAGTGGGTGTGACAGCCACTGCCACCATCCATGGACAGTGGGGACAGCTGTGATGGCCACTGCCACCATCCATGGATGATGGGGACAGCTATGATGGCTACTGCCACCACCCAGGGACAGCAGGACAGCCATGACGGCCACTGCCACCATCCAAGGACAGTGGGGACAGGGACAGTCGTGACGGCCACTGCCACCACCCAGGGATGATGGGGACAGTTGTGATGGCCATCACCAGGGGACAGCAGGGACAACCATGATGGTCACCACCAGGGGACAGCAGGGACAGGGGCAGCCTTGATGGCCACCACCAGGGGACAGCAAGGACAGGGACAACCTTGATGGCCACCACCAGGGGATGATGAGGACAGGGACAACTGTGATGGCCACCACCCAAGGATGCTGGAGATGGCCATGACCATCCCTTGGGGACATGGAGGACAGGGCCACCCACCCTGGTCTGGGTGAGTTTGTTCTTCCTGAGGACGAAGACCCCCTTGTCCACGGCCACCAGCCCCACGTGGGCCTTGTGGTCGCCCTCGATGCGCAGCCTCATGGGGGTCCCCGGCTCGTGCACACGGTTGTCACCTTCCGTCGCCCCCTTCACCACCAGCTGCCACAGACACAGGAGGTGACGTCACCAGGATGTCCCCAAAAGCCACGCTTGTCCCTCCCCCACCAGTGGAGACACCAAATTTGGACCTCCAGGGGCAGTTGATGGACATGTCTGGGCCATCACTGGGCCACCAGAGCCACCTGGGCCACCCAGGAGATATCCAAGCTCCTCATGGAGTGTCCAAAACCACACAAGTGACACCAAATCCCCACCAGGGGCCACTCAGGTCCCTCAATGTCCCCTCAAGCCCTTCCAAAGGTCCCCAAGGATCTTCAGGTCCCCCAAACCCTTCCAAAGGATCCCCAGATCCCTCAAGGACCTCCAGGTCCTTCAATGTCCCCCCCAAGCCCTTCAGGTGCCCCCTCAAGTCCCTCAAGGGCCCCCCAGGCTCATCCAAATGTCCTCCAGGTCCCTCAAGGGCCCCCAAGACTCCCAAGGACCTCCAAGGTCCCTCAAGGGCCCCCCAAGCCCCTCATGGACCTCCCAAACCCCTGAAGGGTCCCCCAAGCCCCTCAAAAGCCCACTCAATGCCACCCAAGTCCCTCATGGACCTCCCAGGCCCCTCAAGGACCTCCCAAGTCCCTCAAAAGTCCCCTCAAGGCCACCTAAACCCCTCAAGGACCTCCCAGGTCCCTCAAAGCCACCCAAGCCCCTCAAGGACCTCCAAACCCTTCAAGGGCCTCCAAGGTCCCTCAAGGACCCCCCAAACACCTCCAAGGCCTCCCAGACCCCTCAAAGACCACTCCAGCCACCACCAAGGCACATCCAATGTCTCCAAGACCCCTTTGACCCCCCTGGGAACACCGGGGGACACTCACAGTGCCCATGCAGGTGTCCTTGACGTCCACCCAGACGGAGTCGGCCACGATCTCGCCGGGCAGGACGTAGTAGTAGGCCACGATGCGGAAGGACGGGATGAGCTCCGGCGTCACCGGCAGGGTCATGGTCACCAAGCTCTGGCCGGCCTCGTGCCGCTGCCGGCCGGCTCGGACGATGCGTCCCTTGGTCATGATCTGCCAGAAACCCAAGCTTGCTGGCCTCCTGGACGTCCAGGTGGTCAAGCTGGAGGACCATGGGTCAACCACGGGTACCCACCAGGTAGGTGAAGAACGGGACGGAGTTGCGGACGTCGTTGTTGCTGGTCTTGAGGTGGAAGTTCACGGCCAGGTTGTCCCCGGGCTGCAGCTCGGTGGCGGCCACCGCCAGGTGCAGGAAGTTGCCTGAGCCGGCCTGGCTGCGATAGGCCTGGGCCGTCATCTGCCGCGAGGCCTGGCGCTCTGGTGGCAGCCCCGCCTGGGCCGTCCGCACCTGGGACAGGTGACACGGTGGCACTCGGTCAGCGGGGAGGGATGTGGGCCTGGGTGGGGTCAGCGTGGAGCGCTTGGCCACCATAGAGGTTCCATAGAGGTCTTGGCCATCATGGAGGGCTTGGCCATCACAGAGGGCTTGGCCACCATAGAGGTTTCATACAGGTTTTGGCCACCAGAGAGGTCTTGGCCACCATGGAGGTCTTGGCCATCACAAAGGTCTTGGCCACTATAGAGGTTCCACAGAGGTCTTGGCGACCACAGAGGTCTTGGCCACCATGGAGGTTTTGGCCGTCATGGAGCTCTTGGCCACCATAGAGGTCTTGGCCATTGTGGAGGTGTGTTGGTTATCATGGAGATTTTGGCCACTATGGATGCCTTGGCCACCATAGAGGTCTTGGCCACCACAGAGGTCTTGGCCATCATGAAGGTCTTGGCCACCATAGAGGTTTTGGCCATTGTGGAGGTGTGTTGGTCATCATGAAGGCCTTGGCCATCATGGAGGCCTTGGCCATCATGGAGGCCTTGGCCATCATGGAGGTCTTGGCCATCATGGACGTGTGTTGGTCATCATGGAGGTCTTGGCCACCATAGAGTTCTTGGCCATCATGGATGTGTGTTGGTCATCATGGAGACCTTGGCCACTATGGAAGTCTTGGCCACCATGGAGGTCTTGTCTGTCATGGTCTCCCTGGTGCCCTGGTCCTTGGTGACCCTCTCCATGGTCAAACTGACCATCTGCTACCTTGGATGTCTTGGCCACTCAACCACCATGGTCCCTCTGACCTTGTCCCTTGGCCACCCTCAATGTCTTGGCCACTTTTGTCTCCCTGGCTTTGACCATCCCATTCCTGGTCACTGGTCACCCTGGCCACATGCCACCATGGACAACTGACCACTGTGGACACCTCCACAGGCCTCTTTGACACCTGGTCCTTGGTCACTCTCATGTCTTGGTCAACCCAATTGAGTTGACCACCATGGTCAGCCTGACCGAGGTTGTCCTTGTCCTTGGCCAATGGTGACCAGGATAGCCCCGTTCCTTGGTCACTCTGGACATCTCAGCCACCTCAACCCCCCAGTCCTTGGTCACTCTGGACATCTTGACCACCACAGTCAACTCAACCATGGGGTGACCTTGGCCATCCTGGCATTTGGCCAATGATGAGTGACCACAATGACCCTTGACCGCCATGGATGTCCAGCCCATCCTGGTCCCCAGTCCTGCTGTCCTGACCCTTGGACATTCCAGGGGTCACTCCGGCCATCTCAGCCACCTCAACCCCCCGGCCCTTGGTCACTCGGGACACCTTGACCACCACAGTCACCTCAACCACGGGGTGACCTCGTTTTTTGGCCAATGATGAGTGACCACGATAACCCTTGACCGCCATGGATGTCCAGCCCATCCTGGTCCCCAGTCCTGCTGTCCTGACCCTTGGTCATCACAACCATGGGTCACTCTGGACATCTCAGCCACCTCAACCCCCCGGCCCTTGGTCCCTCTGGACACCTTGACCACCACAGTCACATCAATCAGGGGGTGACCTCGGCCATCCTGGCTTTTGGCCAATGATGAGTGACCACAATGACCCTTCATCACCACGGATGTCCAGTCCATCCTGGTCCCCTGTCCTGCTGTCCTGACCCTTGGACATCCCAGGGGTCACTCCGGCCATCTCAGCCACCTCAACCCCCTGGGCCACCCCATCGGAGGTGACACCTGGTGACACTCACGGTGATGGGGACGCTGTCCTTGTTGGCTGGCATGTTGAGGACCAGCCTGGCCGTGCCATCGCGCTGTGTGGCCACCTGGCCCTGGAAGCCATCGGCCTGGACGGTGACACGCGGCGCCGGGGACTGGTCGGGGTTGGTGACATAAACCTGGAGGGGACACCGGGGGACGTGGGGACATTACGTGGGAAGGGGTGGTTGCACTGGGAGGGGACACTGGGAAGGGGTGGTGGCATCAGAAAGGGATGGTGGCACTGGGAAGGGACACTGAGAAGGGGTGGTGGCACCGGGAAAGGGTTGTGGCACTGGGAAGGGACAATGACACTGGGAATGGGTGGTGGCACCGGGAAGGAGTGGTGGCACTGGGAGGGGACACTGGGAATGAGTGGTGGCACCGGGAAGGAGTGGTGGCACTGGGAGGGGACACTGGGAGTGGGTGGTGGCCGGGAAGGAGTGGTGTGGCACTGGGAGGGGACACTGGGAGTGGGTGGTGGCACTGGGAAGGGGTGGTGGCACTGGGAAGGGACAGTGGGAAGGGGTGGTGGCACCAGGAAAGGGTCGTGACACTGGGAGGGGACAATGATACTGGGAAGGGTTGGTGGCACTGGGAGGGGACACTGGGAATGAGTGGTGGCACCGGGAAGGAGTGGTGGCACTGGGAGGGGACACTGGGAGTGGGTGGTGGCACTGGGAAGGAGTGGTGGCACTGGGAGGGGACACTGGGAATGGGTGGTGGCACTGGGAAGAGATGGTGGCATTGGGAAGGGACACTGGGAAGGGGTGGTTGCAGTGGGAAGGGTTGGTGGCACTGGGAGGGGACACTGGGAAGGGGTGGTGGCACCAGGAAGGGTGGTGGCACCAGGAAGGGTGGTGGCACCAGGAAGGGTGGTGGCACCAGGAAGGGTGGTGGCACCAGGAAGGGTGGTGGCACCAGGAAGGGTGGTGGCACCAGGAAGGGTGGTGGCACCAGGAAGGGTGGTGGCACCAGGAAGGGTGGTGGCACCAGGAAGGGTGGTGGCACCAGGAAGGGTGGTGGCACCAGGAAGGGGTGGTGGCACTGGGAAGGGACACTGGCACCAGGAAGTGCCACCCCAGTGACACAGGGACAGCCCACGGTCCCCAGCCCCTCTCAGGTGACACAGGGACATCACCCAGAGACCAACTTCTCCTCCACCCCTGTCCCCATCCCAGGCCACCCCGTGGGTCCCGTGCCACCCCCCTGGGCCACCGCTGTCCCCAAGGTGTCACCAACCGTGAGGTCAAAGGGCATCCCCGGCTTGAAGTACTTGGGGGTGTGGGTGAAGTGGATGCTGTAGGGCGACGTCACGATCGGGATGCCACCGCGCTGGGCCTCCACCATGTCACTGCCTGTGGGGACACCGCGGTGGCCGTGTCACCTGGGTCCCTGTCCCCCACCCCAGGTGTCCTGCCATTCTCACTGTCCCCCTGCAACCCATCATGTCACTGCCTGCGGGGACACCGCGGTGGCCGTGTCACCTGGGTCCCTGTCCCCACCCTAGGTATCCCTCCATCCTCACTGTCCCCCTGCCACCCTCCATGTCACTGCCTGCGGGGACACCGCGGTGGCCGTGTCACCTGGGTCCCTGTCCCCCACCCCAGGTGTCCTGCCATTCTCACTGTCCCCCTGCAACCCATCATGTCACTGCCTGCGGGGACACCGCGGTGGCCGTGTCACCTGGGTCCCTCTCCCCACCCCAGGTGTCCTGCCATTCTCACTGTCCCCCTGCCACCCATGTCACTGCCTGCGGGGACACCACGGTGGCCGTGTCACCTGTGGCCAGGGCTCCCTGTCCCCTGCCCAGACGGGTGGCCCCAGATGTCCCCCCCCATCATCGCTGTCCCCAACCCCGCATGTCCCCAGACTCACACCACTGCTGTCCCCAATCTGTCCCCCCATGTCCCCCCTGTCCCCACCAGTCCCCTGTGTCCCCTGGATTCCTCCACTGTCCCTGTCCCCCCATGTCCCCTTGCTGTCCCTGTCCCCCTGTGTCCCCACATGTCCCCCCACCGTCCCCACTGTCCCCTGGATTCCTCCACAGTCCCTGTCCCCCATGTCCCCCCGGCATCCCTGTCCCCAATGTCCCGCCATGCCCCATGTGTGCCCCATGTCCCCCGCGTCCCCGCGCAGACCTGACTCGGTGATGACGGTGACAGTGACATAGAGGGAGTGTCCCACGAGCTCCTGGGGGTTGGGGAAGCGCTCGCGCAGGTGAGCCATGGACAGCACGGCCTCGGCGTCACCGTCCTGCACCTGGGGACATGGGTGGGGACAGGGTTAGGGACAGCAGAGGGACAGCACGGCCTTGGCGTCACCATCCTGCACCTGGGGATCTGGGGACATGGGTGGGGACAGGGTTAGGGACAGCAGGGGGACAGCACGGCCTCGGTGTCACCGTCCTGAACCGGGGGACCCGGGGACATGGGTGGGGACAGGGTTAGGGACAGCACGGGGACAGCACGGCCTCGGTGTCACCGTCCTGAACCGGGGGACATGGGGACACGGGTGGGGACAGGGTTAGGGACAGCAGGGGAACAGCATGGCCTCGGCGTCACCGTCCTGCACCTGGGGACACGGGTGGGGACAGGGTTAGGGACAGCAGGGGGACAGCACGGCCTTGGCGTCACCATCCTGCACCTGGGGACCCGGGGACATGGGTGGGGACAGGGTTAGGAGAGGGTTAGGGACAGCACAGGGACAGCACGGCCTCGGCGTCACCGTCCTGAACCGGGGGACATGGGGACATGGGTGGGGGCAGGGTTAGGGACAGCAGGGGAACAGCATGGCCTCGGCGTCCCCGTCCTGCACCTGGGGACCCGGGGACACGGGTGGGGACAGGGTTAGGAGAGGGTTAGGGACAGCACAGGGACAGCATGGCCTCGGGGGCACCGTCCTGAACCAGGGGACATGGGGACACGGGAGGGGACAGGGGTAGGGACAGCAGGGGGACAGCACAGGGACAGCATGGCCTCGGTGTCACCGTCCTGAACCAGGGGACATGGGGACACGGGTGGGGACAGGGTTAGGAGAGGGTTAGGGACAGCACAGGGACAGCACGGCTTTGGTGTCACCGTCCTGAACCTGGGGACACGGGTGGGGACAGGGTTAGGGACAGCAGGGGGACAGCACAGGGACAGCATGGCCTCGGTGTCACCGTCCTGAACCAGGGGACATGGGGACACGGGTGGGGACAGGGTTAGGAGAGGGTTAGGGACAGCACAGGGACAGCACGGCTTTGGTGTCACCGTCCTGAACCTGGGGACACGGGGACATGGGTGGGGACAGGGTTAGGAGAGGGTTAGGGACAGCACAGGGACAGCACGGCTTTGGTGTCACCGTCCTGAACCTGGGGACACGGGGACACGGGTGGGGACAGGGTTGGGGACAGGGTTGGGGACAGGGTTGGGGACACAGTTGGGGACAGGCATAGGGATGGGGACAGGGACAATGCCAGAGTTGGAGACAGGGACAGTGCCAGGCTCACCGGGACAGGCTTGAGGACAAGGACAGTGCCAGGGTTGGGGACAGTGACAGTGCCAGGGGCAGGGACAGTGCCAGGCTCACCGGGACAGGGTTGGGGACAGTGACAGTGACAGTGACAGTGCCAGGGTTGGGGACAGTGACAGTGACAGTGACAGTGCCAGGCTCACGCGCACCGGGTTGGGGACAGTGACAGTGCCAGGCTCACCAGGACGCGCTGCAGTGACTGGGGAATGCTCTTCTTCTCGTCGTCCACCATGACCCCGAAGAGGACAAAGGCCGTCCCCTCCACGCGCTTCCCGTACAGGTACCTGGGGACAGCCACCATGCCACCGTGTCACTGTGCCACCGTGTCAGTGTGTCACCGTGTCAGTGTGGTCACCGTGTCACTGTGTCACCCTGTCATCCTGTCACCGTCACCCTGTCACTGTGTCACTGTGTCACTGTGTCCCCCTGTCACCGTGTCACTGTGTCCCTCTGTCACTGTGTCACCGTGTCCCCTGCACATCCCCATTACAGCCATTCCTGTACCCACAGGCACCTGGGGACAGCCACCCTGTCACCGTGTCACTGTGTCACCATGTCACCGTGTCACCGTGCCACCATGTCACCATGTCACTGTGTCAGTGTGTCACCGTGTCACTGTGTCACCCTGTCATCCTGTCACTGTCACCCTGTCACTGTGTCACTGTGTCCCCTGCACATCCCCATTACAGCCATTCCTGTCCCCACAGCCACCATGTCACTGTGTCACCCTGTCACCCTGTCACCCTATCCCTGTGTCACCATGTCACTCTGTCACCATGTCCCATCCTGCCACCCCTGTCCCTGTCATCCCATCTTTGCTGCCACCACCACCAATGTCATCGTGTCCCCATGTCCCCATCCTGCCACCCCTGTCCCTGTCATCCCATCCCTGCCACCACCAATGTCACCCCATTGTCCCCATGTCCCCATCCTGCCACCCCTGTCCCTGTCATCCCATCCCTGCCACCACCAATGTCACCCCATTGTCCCCCTGTCCCCATCCCACCACCCCATCTCTGTCATCCCATCCCTGCCACCACCAATGTCACCGTGTCCCCATGCCACCCCATCTTTTGTGTCACTGTGTCACCCTGTCATCCTGTCACTGTCACCCTGTCACTGTGTCACTGTGTCCCCTGCACATCCCCATTACAGCCATTCCTGTCCCCACAGCCACCATGTCACTGTGTCACCCTGTCACCCTGTCACCCTATCCCTGTGTCACCATGTCACTCTGTCACCATGTCCCATCCTGCCACCCCTGTCCCTGTCATCCCATCTTTGCTGCCACCACCACCAATGTCATCGTGTCCCCATGTCCCCATCCTGCCACCCCTGTCCCTGTCATCCCATCCCTGCCACCACCAATGTCACCCCATTGTCCCCATGTCCCCATCCCGCCACCCCATCTTTGTCATCCCATCCCTGCCACCACCAATGTCACCCCATTGTCCCCATGTCCCCATCCTGCCACCCCATCTCTGCTATCCCATCTCTGCCACCACCGATGTCCCATGTCACCCCGTGTCCCCCTCCACCCTCCACGTGCCACCCCCAGGGACAGCAGCCGAGCACAGCTGTCCCCCGTCCCCTACGCAGGTGTGACCCCAAAGGGGACACTTTTGTCCCCAAAAAGGGACATTTTGGGGTCACCTGGCCAGGATGGACACCCGGAAATCCGCCTGGCGGTCGATGTACAGGAACTTCTCCTCGGGATCCACGGACACCTCAAAGCTCGGCAGCACTGCGGGGTGACAACGGTGACACCGGTGACATCGGTGACATGGTGACACCGCCACCCCTTGGGGACAGTCCCCGATGTCCCCAAGGCCACCCCCAGCCCTCACCCACCGTATTCCTTGACCTCGAATTGGGCGCTGAAATCCTGATCCGGGGAATCCTCGAATTTGGCCGAAATTGTCCACATGCCCAAGCTGGGGGAGGTGACAGGGAGGTGACAGGGAGGTGACAGGGAGGTGACAGCGCCGGGGGTGTCCCCAAGCCACCGCGGGGGACGGCGACACCCACCTGACGACCTCGGGCAGGTTGTGGTTGATGGTCAGGATCCCATTTTTGGTCGGGGACGAGACCGGGACTTGTTTGATGATGACGTTGTCGGGCGTCTGAGGGGACACGCGCAGTGTCACCCGTGTCACCCGTGTCACCCTGTGCCACCCCTGTGCCACCTGTCACCCCAGGGCACTCACCTTGACCTCCACGATGACCGTCTTGGCTACCGGCTGCATGAGGTGGCCCACGGTGAAGAGGCGGCAGAGCACTGGGAGGGGACACAGGGGACAAAGTGAGAGGGGACACGGGACAAGGTGAGGGGGGACACAGGGGACAAGGTGAGGGACAAGGTGAGGGGGGACAGGGGACAAGGTGAGGGGACACAGGGGACAAGGTGAAGGGACAAGGTTTGGGGACACGGGACAAGGTGAGGGGACAAGGGACAAGGTGAGGGGGGACAAGGACAGGGTAGGTACACAGGGGACAAGGTGAGGGGACACAGGGGACAAGGTGAGGGGACACAGGACAAGGTGAGGGGACAAGGTGAGGGGACACAAGGGACAAGTGAGAAGGGACACAGGGGACAAGGTGAGGGAGGACAAGGGGACAAGGTGAGAGGGGACACAGGGGACAAGGTGAGAGGTGACACAGGGGACAAGTGAGGGGACAGGGGACAAGGTGAGGGGACAAGGTGAGGGGACACAAGGGACAAGTGAGAAGGGACACAGGGGACAAGGTGAAGGGGACACAGGGGACAAGGTGAGAGGGGACACAGGGGACAAGGTGAGAGGTGACACAGGGGACAAGTGAGGGGACAGGGGACAAGGTGAGGGGACAAGGTGAGGGGACACAAGGGACAAGTGAGAAGGGACACAGGGGACAAGGTGAGGGAGGACAAGGGGACAAGGTGAGAGGGGACACGGGATGAGGTGAGGGGACAAGGGACAAGGTGAGCACAGGGATGGGGGCACTGGGGACTGAGAGGGGACAAGGACAAGGTGGGGACACAAGGGACAAGGTGAGAGGGGACACGTGGGGACAGCCAGCACTGAGAGGGGACACAGGGGACAATGTGAGGGGACATGTGGGGACAATGTGAGCAGGGACAGGGCAGGGACACTGCGTCCCACTGGGGACATCACGGGGAGGTCCCCAAATGGGTGACACTGGCACTCCAAGGCGCCACCATCGCCCTGAGGTGTCACAGAAGGGTGACACAGCACCCCGAGGTGTCCCCAGCCCTCCGAGGTGTCACAGGGAGGTGCCACCAGCACCCCGAGGTGTCCCCAACCCCCCACGGTGTCCCCAACCCTCAAGGTGTCCCTGCACCCTGAGATGTCCCCACGCCTGTGATGTCCCCACAATGTCCCCATCCCCTCGGTGTCCCCACAGTGTTGCCACCCCCGTGGTGTCCCCAGCTGTCCCCGCAGTGTCCCCGCGATGTCCCTGCAGTGTCCCTGCGGTGTCCCCACGGTGTCCCCAGGTGTCCCCAGATGCGCTCACTGGTGGCCCCAGCAGTATCCCCACACCTGTGATGTCCCCACAGTGTCCCCATCCCCTCAATGTCCCCACAGTGTCGCCCTCCCCGCAGTGTCCCCGCGATGTCCCTGCAGTGTCCCTGCGGTGTCCCCACGGTGTCCCCAGGTGTCCCCACTCATGCATCAGTGGCCCTGGCAGTGTCCCAGCACTGCGAGGTGTCCCCATGCCTGTGATGTCCCCACAGTGTCCCCATCCCCTCAATGTCCCCACAGTGTCACCCTCCCCATGGAGTCCCCACGGTGTCCCCAGGTGTCCCCAGCTGTCCCCGCAGTGTCCCTGTGGTATCCCCAGCTGTCCCTGCGGTGTCCCCGCCATGTCCCTCTGGTGCCCCTGGTTGTCCCCAGCTGTCCCCGCAGTGTCCCCAGCTGTCCCCAGCTGTCCCCTCAGTGTCCCCACGGTGTCCCCGGTTGTCCCCAGCTGTCCCTGTGGTATTCCCAGCTGTCCCCACATTGTCCCTGGATGTCCCTAGCTGTCTCTGCAGTGTCCCTGTGGTGTTCCCACCTGTCCCCGCATTGTACCTGGATGTCCCTAGCTGTCCCTGCGGTGTCCCTGTGGTGTCCCCGGTTGTCCCCAGCTGTCCCTGTGGTATTCCCAGCTGTCCCCGCATTGTCCCTGGATGTCCCCAGCTGTCCCTGCGGTGTCCCTGCAGTGTCCCCGCTTGTCCCCAGGTGTCCCTGAAGTGTCCCTGTGGTATCCCCAACTGTTCCCGCGGTGTCCCCGATTGTCCCCAACTGTCCCTGCAGTGTCCCTGCAGTGTCCCCGGTTGTCCCCAGCTGTCCCTATGGTGTTCCCATCATGTCCCCACGGTGTCCCTGGATGTCCCCAGCTGTCCCTGTGGGTGTTCCCAGCTGTCCCCACGGTGTCCCTATGGTGTTCCCAGCTGTCTCCGCGCTGTCCCCGGTTGTCCCCAGCTGTCCCCGCGGTGTCCCTAGCTGTCCCTGCAGTGTCCCTGAGGTGTCCCTGCAGTGTCCCTGCAGTGTCCCCGCTTGTCCCCAGCTGTCCCCGCGGTGTCCCCGCGGTGTCCCCAGCTGTCCCTGCAGTGTCCCCAATTGTCCCCAGCTGTCCCAGCACTGAGAGGGGACACAGGGGACAATGTGAGGGGACATGTGGGGACAATGTGAGCAGGGACAGGGCAGGGACACTGCGTCCCACTGGGGACATCACGGGGAGGTCCCCAAATGGGTGACACTGGCACTCCAAGGCGCCACCATCGCCCTGAGGTGTCACAGAAGGGTGACACAGCACCCCGAGGTGTCCCCAGCCCTCCGAGGTGTCACAGGGAGGTGTCACCAGCACCCCGAGGTGTCCCCAACCCCCCACGGTGTCCCCAACCCTCAAGGTGTCCCTGCACCCTGAGATGTCCCCACGCCTGTGATGTCCCCACAATGTCCCCATCCCCTCGGTGTCCCCACAGTGTTGCCACCCCCGTGGTGTCCCCAGCTGTCCCCGCAGTGTCCCTGGGTGTCCCCAGGTGTCCCCAGATGCGCTCACTGGTGGCCCCAGCAGTATCCCCACACCTGTGATGTCCCCACAGTGTCCCCATCCCCTCGGTGTCCCCACAGTGTTGCCCCCCCCGTCGTGTCCCCAGCTGTCCCCGCAGTGTCCCTGGGTGTCCCCAGGTGTCCCCAGATGCGCTCACTGGTGGCCCCAGCAGTATCCCCACACCTGTGATGTCCCCACAGTGTCCCCATCCCCTCAATGTCCCCACAGTGTCGCCCTCCCCGCAGTGTCCCCGCGATGTCCCTGGATGTCCCTGCAGTGTCCCTGCGGTGTCCCCACGGTGTCCCCAGGTGTCCCCACTCATGCATCAGTGGCCCTGGCAGTGTCCCAGCACTGCAAGGTGTCCCCATGCCTGTGATGTCCCCACAGTGTCCCCATCCCCTCAATGTCCCCACAGTGTCACCCTCCCCATGGAGTCCCCAGCTGTCCCCGCAGTGTCCCTGTGGTATCCCCAGCTGTCCCTGCGGTGTCCCCGCCATGTCCCTCTGGTGCCCCTGGTTGTCCCCAGCTGTCCCCGCAGTGTCCCCAGCTGTCCCCAGCTGTCCCCTCAGTGTCCCCACGGTGTCCCCGGTTGTCCCCAGCTGTCCCTGTGGTATTCCCAGCTGTCCCCGCATTGTCCCTGGATGTCCCTAGCTGTCCCTGCAGTGTCCCTGTGGTGTCCCCAGCTGTCCCTGCGGTGTCCCTTCAGTGTCCCCGGTTGTCCCCAGCTGTCCCTGCGGTGTCCCCGCTTGTCCCCAGGTGTCCCTGAAGTGTCCCTGTGGTATCCCCAACTGTTCCCGCGGTGTCCCCGATTGTCCCCAACTGTCCCTGCAGTGTCCCTGCAGTATCCCCAGCTGTCCCCGTGGTGTCCCTGCGGTGTCCCCGCTTGTCCCCAGGTGTCCCTGAAGTGTCCCTGTGGTATCCCCAACTGTTCCCGCGGTGTCCCCGATTGTCCCCAACTGTCCCTGCAGTGTCCCTGCAGTGTCCCCGGTTGTCCCCAGCTGTCCCTATGGTGTTCCCATCATGTCCCCACGGTGTCCCTGGATGTCCCCAGCTGTCCCTGTGGTGGTTCCCAGCTGTCCCCACGGTGTCCCTATGGTGTTCCCAGCTGTCTCCGCGCTGTCCCCGGTTGTCCCCAGCTGTCCCCGCGGTGTCCCTAGCTGTCCCTGCAGTGTCCCTGAGGCGTCCCTGCAGTGTCCCTGCAGTGTCCCCGGTTGTCCCCAGCTGTCCCTGTGGTGTCCCCAGATGTCCCCGATTGTCCCCAGCTGTCCCCGCGGTGTCCCCGCGGTGTCCCCAGCTGTCCCTGCAGTGTCCCTGCAGTATCCCCAGCTGTCCCTGCAGTGTCCCCGCGGTGTCCCCAGCTGTCCCCACGGTGTCCCTGCGGTGTCCCCAGCTGTCCCTGTGGTGTCCCCAGATGTCCCCAGCTGTCCCTGCAGTATCCCCAGCTGTCCCTGTGGTGTCCCCAGCTGTCCCCAGCTGTCCCTGCAGTATCCCCAGCTGTCCCTGTGGTGTCCCCAGCTGTCCCCAGCTGTCCCTGCAGTATCCCCAGCTGTCCCTGTGGTGTCCCCAGCTGTCCCCAGCTGTCCCTGCAGTATCCCCAGCTGTCCCTGCAGTGTCCCTGCAGTGTCCCCAGCTGTCCCCGTGGTGTCCCCGCGGTGTCCCCAGCTGTCCCTGTGGTGTCCCCAGCTGTCCCCAGCTGTCCCTGCAGTATCCCCAGCTGTCCCTGCAGTGTCCCTGCAGTATCCCCAGCTGTCCCTGCGGTGTCCCCGCGGTGTCCCCGCAGTGTCCCCAGCTGTCCCTGTGGTGTCCCCAGCTGTCCCCAGCTGTCCCTGCAGTATCCCCAGCTGTCCCTGCAGTGTCCCTGCAGTGTCCCCAGCTGTCCCCGCGGTGTCCCCACGGTGTTCCCGGTTGTCCCCAGCTGTCCCCGCTTGTCCCCGCGGTGTCCCCGTGTCCCCGCGCGCTCACCGGTGCTCCCCGGGGTGTAGATGGGCTTGTCGGTCTGCACGAAGATGTGGCCGCTCTGCGGGGACACCAGCAGCACCTTCTCCAGTGTCACCGCGGCCACCCGCGCCGTCACCGTCACAAACTGCTTCCCCTGCGCCTGCGGCAGTGCCTTGGCCGGCACCTGGGGGACAGGGACAGTGGGGACATCCATGGGGACAGGGACACTGGGGACAACCAGAGGGACAGGGACAGTGGGGACATCCAGAGGGACAGGGACACTGGGGACATGCAAGGGGACAGGGGACATCCACTGGGAGAGGGACATTGAGGACAGGGGGCGTCCAGAGGGGCAGGGGACATTGGGGACATCCACGGGGACACGGCACACTGGGGACAGGGGACACTGGGGACACCTGTGGGGAGAGGGGACAATGGGAACATCCAGAGGGGCAGGGGACAATGGGAACATCCAGAGGGGCAGGGGACATTGGGGACATCCACGGGGACAGGGCACACTGGGGACACCTGTGGGGAGAGGGGACACTGGGGACATCCATGGGGACAGGAGACAATGGGAACATCCATGGGGACTGGGGACACTGGGGACAGGGGACTTTGGGGACAGGGGACATTGGGGACATCCAAGGGGACAGGGACACTGGGGACATCTGCGGGGAGATGTGACCACACCCCACGGACACCAGGAGTGACCACCCCATGGACACCAGGAGTGGGGACCCTGGGGACAGGGACAATGGGGACATCCGCGGGGACAGGGACAGTGGGGACATCCATGGGGACAGGGACAGTGGGGACATCCAGAGGGACAGGGACAATGGGGACATGCATGGGGACAGGGGACAGTGGGGACATGCATGGGGACAGGGGACAGTGGGGACACCTGCGGGGACAGGGACACTGGGGACATCCAGAGGGACAGGGACAGTGGGGACATCCACGGGGAGAGGGACAATGGGTACATCTACGGGGACAGGGGACATTGGGGACAGGGACAGTGGGAACATCCACAGGGACAGGGGACACTGGGGACATGCAAGGGGACAGGGGACATCCACTGGGAGAGGGACATTGAGGACAGGGGGCGTCCAGAGGGGCAGGGGACATTGGGGACATCCACGGGGACAGGGCACACTGGGGACACCTGTGGGGAGAGGGGACACTGGGGACATCCATGGGGACAGGAGACAATGGGAACATCCATGGGGACTGGGGACACTGGGGACAGGGGACTTTGGGGACAGGGGACATTGGGGACATCCAAGGGGACAGGGACACTGGGGACATCTGCGGGGAGATGTGACCACACCCCACGGACACCAGGAGTGACCACCCCATGGACAGCAGGAGTGACCATCCCACGGACACCAGGAGTGACCACCCCATGGACAGCAGGAGTGACCATCCCACGGACACCAGGAGTGACCATCCTATGGACACCAGGAGTGACCACCCCATGGACAGCAGGAGTGACCATCCCACGGACACCAGGAGTGACCACCCCATGGACACCAGGAGTGACCATCCCACGGACACCAGGAGTGACCATCCCAAGGACACCAGGAGTGACCACCCTATGGACACCAGGAGTGACCATCCCAAAGACACCAGGAGTGACCACACCATGGACACCAGGAGTGACCATCCAAGGACACCAGGAGTGACCATACCCCACGGACACCAGGAGTGACCACCCTCTGTCCCCACCCCCCGGACATTCCCCACCCCCGCTCAGGGTTCAGTTTCCGTTTCCCATCCAGGGCAGTGACCGCTGGGACAATGACTGGTGGCGGTCACCACGGGGTGGTGACAGTGACCAGAGCAGGGTGACAGTGACTACCGGGTAGTGACAGTGACCAGAGCGGGGTGACAGTGACCAGAGGGGGGTGACAGTGACCAGAAGGGGGTGGTGACAGTGACCAGAGGGGGGTGACAGTGACATGGGGGTGGTGACAGTGACCAGGGGAGGGTGGCAGTGACCAGAGGGGGATGGTGGCAGCAACCAGAGGGTGGTGACAGTGACCAGAGCGGGTTGACAGTGACAGAGGACAGTGACAGTGCCCAGGGGACAGTGACAGTGACATGGGGGTGGTGACAGTGACCAGGGGAGGGTGGCAGTGACCAGAGGGGGATGGTGGCAGCAACCAGAGGGTGGTGACAGTGACCAGAGCGGGTTGACAGTGACAGAGGACAGTGACAGTGCCCAGGGGACAGTGACAGTGACATGGGGGTGGTGACAGTGACCAGGGGAGGGTGGCAGTGACCAGAGGGGGATGGTGGCAGCAACCAGAGGGTGGTGACAGTGACCAGAGCGGGTTGACAGTGACAGAGGACAGTGACAGTGCCCAGGGGACAGTGACAGTGACATGGGGGTGGTGACAGTGACCAGGGGAGGGTGGCAGTGACCAGAGGGGGATGGTGGCAGCAACCAGAGGGTGGTGACAGTGACCAGAGCGGGTTGACAGTGACAGAGGACAGTGACAGTGCCCAGGGGACAGTGACAGTGACATGGGGGTGGTGACAGTGACCAGGGGAGGGTGGCAGTGACCAGAGGGGGATGGTGGCAGCAACCAGAGGGTGGTGACAGTGACCAGAGCGGGTTGACAGTGACAGAGGACAGTGACAGTGCCCAGGGGACAGTGACAGTGACATGGGGGTGGTGACAGTGACCAGGGGAGGGTGGCAGTGACCAGAGGGGGATGGTGGCAGCAACCAGAGGGTGGTGACAGTGACCAGAGCGGGTTGACAGTGACAGAGGACAGTGACAGTGCCCAGGGGACAGTGACAGTGACATGGGGGTGGTGACAGTGACCAGGGGAGGGTGGCAGTGACCAGAGGGGGATGGTGGCAGCAACCAGAGGGTGGTGACAGTGACCAGAGCGGGTTGACAGTGACAGAGGACAGTGACAGTGCCCAGGGGACAGTGACAGTGACATGGGGGTGGTGACAGTGACCAGGGGAGGGTGGCAGTGACCAGAGGGGGATGGTGGCAGCAACCAGAGGGTGGTGACAGTGACCAGAGCGGGTTGACAGTGACAGAGGACAGTGACAGTGCCCAGGGGACAGTGACAGTGACATGGGGGTGGTGACAGTGACCAGGGGAGGGTGGCAGTGACCAGAGGGGGATGGTGGCAGCAACCAGAGGGTGGTGACAGTGACCAGAGCGGGTTGACAGTGACAGAGGACAGTGACAGTGCCCAGGGGACAGTGACAGTGACATGGGGACGGTGACAGTGCCCAGGGGAGGGTGCCAGTGACATGGGGACGGTGACAGTGCCCAGGGGAGGGTGCCAGTGACATGGGGACGGTGACAGTGCCCAGGGGAGGGTGCCAGTGACAAGAGGGCAGTGACAGTGCCCAGGGGAGGGTGCCAGTGACATGGGGACGGTGACAGTGCCCAGGGGACGGTGACAGTGCCCAGGGGACAGTGACAGTGACATGGGGACGGTGACAGTGCGCAGGGGAGGGTGCTGCCAGCCTACCTTGATGGTGGCCGCGGCCATCATGCCCTGGGCCGGGCTCAGCGCCACGCGGCTCTGGAACAGGACCTGGCGCTTCTGCGGGAAGTCCTGCACCAGCAGCGAGGCCTCGGCGGCCGCGCTCAGCCCCGGCGCCTCCAGCACCACCTGCTCGTCCGCCTCCAGCCGCAGCACCGCCGGCGTCACCATGGTCACCCTGGGGACACCACCGGCTGGCACCGGGCGCCGGGGGGACAGCGCCCGGAAACCGCGAAATCTGTCCCTAAAGGAGCTTGGGGACCTCAGAAACACCAAAATCTGTCCCTAAAGGAGCTTGGGGACCTCAGAAACCCCAAAATCTGTCCCTAAAGGAGCTTGGGGACCTCAGAAACACCAAAATCTGTCCCTAAAGGAGCTTGGGGACCTCAGAAACCCCGAAATCTGTCCCCACAGAGCCCTGGGAACCTCAGAGCAACCAGAAACCCCAAAATCTGTCCCCAAACAGCTTGGGGAGCTCAGAAACTCCAAAATCTGTCCCTAAAGCAGCTTGGGGACCTCAGAAACCCCGAAATCTGTCCCCAAAACAGCTTGGGGACTTCAGAAACCCCAATATCTGTCCTGATATCACCTTGGGGACCTCAGAAACCCCAAAATCTGTCCTGATATCACCCTGGGGACCTCACAGGTCACAAAAACTCCAAAATCTGTCCCAAAACACCTTGGGGACCTCAGAGCACCCAGAAACCACAAAATCTGTCCCCAAAGCACCCATGGGGACCTCAGAAACCCCAAAATCTGTCCCAATATCACATTGGGAACTTGGGGACCTCAGAGCACCCAGAAACCACAAAATCTGTCCCTAAAGCAGCTTGGGGGGCCTCAGAAACCCCAAAATCTGTCCCCACAAAACCTTGGGGACCTCAGAAACTCCAAAATCTGTCCCAATATCACCTTGAGAACCTCACAGCACCCAGAAACCCCAAAATCTTTCCCCAAACAGCTTGGGGACCTCAGAAACCCCAAAATCTGTCCCTAAAGGAGCTTGGGGACCTCAGAAACCCCAAAATCTGTCCCAATATCACATTGGGAACCTCAGAGCACCCAGAAACCCCAAAATCGGTCCCCAAAACTCCTTGGGGACCTCAGAGCACCCAAACCCCAAGAATCTGTCCCCAAAGCACCCATGGGTGGGGGGGTCCCATAAAAGGGGATTCCATGGGGGTCCCACGGGTGGATGGAGGGGGTCCCATGGTTTGGGGGGGTCCCATAGGTGGGGAGTCCCAAAAAAGGGGATTCCCTGGGGGTCCCATGGGTGAGGGTGCCATGGATGAGGGTGGGGTGGGGGTCCCATGGGTGGGGTAGGTTTGGTCCCCCTGGACCTGGACACCTGGGTCCATCCTGAGACCCCTGAAAGGTCCTGGACACCCTCCTGGACCCCTGGTGGGACCTGGACACCTGGATCTGCACACCTGGGTGACCCCTGATGGGTCCTGGGTGACCTCCAGGACCTTTGGTAGGACCTTAGACACCTGGATCTGCACACCTGGGTGACCCCGGGTAGGACCTGGACACCTGAGTGACTCCTGAAAGGACCTGGGTGACCTCCTGGACCTTTGGTAGAACCTGGACACTTTGGGCCCACCCTGGACCTGGACACCTGGATCCATCCTGAGACTCCTGGTAGGACCTGAGTGACCTCCTGGACCCCTGGCAGGACCTGGACACTTGGGTCACCTGCTGGGCCTGGACATCTTGGTCCATCCTGAGACCCCTGAAAGGACCTGGGTGACCTCCAGGACCCCTGGTGCCACCTGGACACCTGCATCCATCCTGAGACCCCTGAAAGGTCCTGAATGACCTCCAGGACCCCTGGTAGGACCTTAGACACCTGGATCTGCACACCTGGGTGACTCCTGAAAGGACCTGGGTGGTCTCCTGGACCCCTGGTGGGATTTGCACACCCGGGTGACCCCTGAAAGGACCTGGGTGACCTCCTGGAGCTTTGGTAGGACCTGGACACCTGGATCTGCACACCTGGGTGACTCCTGAAAGGACCTGGGTGGTCTCCTGGACCCCTGGTGGGATTTGCACACCCGGGTGACCCCTGAAAGGACCTGGGTGACCTCCTGGAGCTTTGGTAGGACCTGGACACCTGGATCTGCACACCTGGGTGACTCCTGAAAGGACCTGGGTGGTCTCCTGGACCCCTGGTGGGATTTGCACACCCTACCTGGGTCCATCCTGAGACCCCTGAAAGGACCTGGGTGGCCTCCTGGAGCTTTGGTAGGACCTGGACACCTGGATCTGCACACCTGGGTGACCCCTGAAAGGTCCTGGGTGACCTCCAGGACCCCTGGTGGGACCTGGACACTTGGGGTCCACCCTGGACCTGGACACCTGCGTCCATCCTGAGACCCCTGAAAGGATCTGGGTGACCTCCTGGACCCCTGGTAGGACCTTAGACACCTGAGTGACCCCTGAAAGGACCTGGGTGACCTCCTGGAGCTTTGGTAGGAGCTGGATGCTTGGGGTCCATCTGGACCTGGACACCTGGGTCCATCCTGAGACCCCTGAAAGGTCCTGGACACCCTCCTGGACCCCTGGTGGGACCTGGACACCTGGATCTGCACACCTGGGTGACCCCTGATGGGTCCTGGGTGACCTCCAGGACCTTTGGTAGGACCTTAGACACCTGGATCTGCACACCTGGGTGACCCCTGGTAGGACCTGGACACCTGAGTGACCCCTGAAAGGACCTGGGTGACCTCCTGGAGCTTTGGTAGAACCTGGACACTTTGGGCCCACCCTGGACCTGGACACCTGGATCCATTCTGAGACTCCTGGTAGGACCTGAGCGACCTCCTGGACCCCTGGTAGGACCTGGACAATTGGGTCACCTCCTGGGCCTGGACACGTTGGTCCATCCTGAGACCCCTGAAAGGTTCTGGGTGACCTCCAGGACCCCTGGTGCGACCTGGACACCTGGATCTGCACACCTGAGTGACCCCTGATGGGTCCTGGGTGACCTGGACTCCTGGTAGGACCTGACACCTGGATCTGCACACCTGGGTGACCCCTGAAAGGACCTGGGTGGCCTCCTGGAGCTTTGGTAGCACCTGGCCACCTGCATCTGCACACCTGAGTGACCCCTGAAAGGTCCTGGGTGACCTCCAGGACCCCTGGTGGGACCTGGACACTTGGGGTCCACCCTGGACCTGGACACGTGGGTTCATCCTGAGACCCCTGAAAGGTCCTGGAGACCCTCCTGGACCCCCTGGGCCACCTGGACCCCTTGGGCCACCATGTCTAGACCACCAGGACCCTCCTGTGACCTTGTCCCATCTCCAAGCCCCAGAAGCCCAGATCCCCCCCATGTCCCCCGTTTGTCCCCTTGTCACCACCACCGCCGTGGTGGCAGCTCCTCCCTGGTGCCACCACCGTGACAGGAACCACCCAGGAGCCACCACCCCGGGCCCAGTTCCCGTTGTCCCTCGCGGCACCTCCGGGGCGCAGGCGCGCCACCTCCGTCGTCCCCTGTGTCACCTCCGGGGCGCAGGCGTGTGACACTCCTGCCACCCTGCAGGCCGGGCCACCAGCGCTGACCACGCCAGGAGGTCCACCAGGCCACCGGACCTCCTCCAGCCGCGGGGGAAGCAGGAGAAGGAGCCCCTCGGGATCATCCGGACGTGGCGGTGGGACGGGGACCGACATTTGTCACTTGTCACCGGTGGCGGCCCCACGGGGCCCCAGCGCCTCCGGTTCCTCCCTTTCCTGGGGGGAAGGGACCTCCCGCGCCGTGGGAGGTGCCCCAGAAGCGTTTGGAGGTGCTGAGGTTTCTCCAGGGGTCATCCAGGGGTCATCCAGTGGCTCCTCGCTGGATGTGAGGTCCTGCCAAGGCCGCACAAGGCAGGGCCTCACCTGGTGCTGCTGCTCTGGACAGGAGTGGTGATATTGGGATCCCATCTCCAGCGGGATCTCACCTCCACCAGGATCCCATCTCCACCAGGATCTCACCTCCACCGGGATCTCACCTCCATTGGGATCTCACCTCCATTGGGATCTCATATCCACCGGGATCTCACCTCTCCTGGGATCTCACCTCCATTGGGATCTCACCTCCACCGGGATCTCACCTCCATTGGGATCTCACCTCCACCGGGATCTCACCTCTCCTGGGATCTCATCTCCACCAGGATCTCACCTCCACTGGGATCTCATCTCCACCAGGATCTCATCTCCACTGGGATCCCATCTCCACCAGGATCTCACCTCCACCGGGATCTCACCTCCACTGGGATCCCATCTCCACCAGGATCTCACCTCTCCTGGGATCTCATCTCCACCAGGATCTCACCTCCATTGGGATCCCATCTCCACCAGGATCTCACTTCCATTGGGATCTCACCTCCATTGGGATCTCATATCCACCGGGATCTCACCTCTCCTGGGATCGCACCTCTCCTGGGATCTCACATCCATCAGGATCTCATCTCCACCGGGATCTCACCTCCATTGGGATCTCATCTCCACCAGGATCTCATCTCCACCAGGATCTCACCTCCATCAGGATCCCATCTCCACCGGGATCCCATCTCCATCAGCTCCTGGCCAGAAGTTGATGATTGGACCCTCTTCCATCGACTCCTCTGCAGAAGTTTATCCTGCCGGGACCCACCTCCACAGGAGTTCACCCCACCAGGACCCACCTCCATCGGCTCCTTCCCAGAAATTCATCCTGCCAGGACCCACCTCCACTGAGGTTCATCCTGCCAGGACCCAGCTCCACCAGTTGCTCCATTTAAGTTCATCCCACCAGGACCCACCTCCATCGGCTCCTTCCCAGAAATTCATCCCACCAGGACCCACCTCCCCAGAATTCATCCCGCCAGGACCCACCTCCACAGAAATTCATCCTGCCAGGAGCCACCTCCCCGGAATTCATCCTGCCAGGACCCAGCTCCATTGACATCCATTCCACCGGGACCCACCTCCCCAAGAATTCACCCCACTAGGACCCACCTCCCCAGGAATTCACCCCACCAGGACCCATCTCCCCAGAAATTCACCTCACCAGGACCCACCTCCCCAGAAATTCACCTCACCAGGACCCACCTCCCCAGAAATTCACCTCACCAGGACCCACCTCCCTCCCCAGAATTCACCCCACCAGGACCCACCTCCACAGAAGTTCATCCCACTAGGACAAAACTCCCCAGAATTCACTTCACCGGGACCCACCTCCCCAGGAATTCACCCCACCGGGACCCACCTCCCCAGGAATTCACCCCACCGGGACCCACCTCCACCGTCTCGTCCCCGTGTCCTCATGGAGGTGTGGCGCCAATGTGCGCACTGGCTGGTGGCCGCGCGCGTCCTGCCCGCGGGACACCGGGCCAGCAGCCCCGGGGGACAGGTGTGGGACCTGGCGCAGGCGCTGCGCGACGGGGTCCTGCTGTGCCACCTCCTCAACGCCCTCCTGCCCCGCGCCGTGCCACCCCGCGACATCTGTCCCCGGCCACAGATGTCACAGGTGAGACACGAGGTGGGGACAGGGCGGGGCTGGGCCAGGGAGGGACACGAGGGGTGTGACAATGACGGTGACAGTGGTGGGTGATGGGGACAATGGGGATGGGGACATTGATGGTGGTAGTGGTGGGTGATTGGGCCAATGGGGGTGGGGACATTGATGGTGATGATGGTGAGTGATGGGGACAATGGGGATGGGGACATTGATGGTGACAATGGTGGGTGATGGGGACAATGGAAATGGGGACGTTGATGGTGACAATGATGGTGATATTGATGGTGACAATGATGGGGACATTGATGGTGACAATGGTGAATGATGGGGACAATGGGGATGGGGACATTGATGGTGACAATGGTGGGTGATGGGGACAATGGGGATGGGGACATTGATGGTAACAATGGTGGGTGATGGGGACAATGGGGATGGGGACATTGATGGTGACAATGGTGGGTGATGGGGACAATGGGGATGGGGACATTGATGGTAACAATGGTGGGTGATGGGGACAATGGGGATGGGGACATTGATGGTGACAATGGTGAGTGATGGGGACAATGGGGATGGGGACATTGATGGTGGTAGTGGTGGGTGATGGGGACAATGGGGATGGGGACGTTGATGGTGACAATGGTGAGTGATGGGGACGATGAGGATGGGGACATTGATGGTGGTGGTGGTGGGTGATGGGGACAATGGGGATGGGGACATTGATGGTGACAATGGTGGGTGATGGGGACAATGGGGACGGGGACATTGATGGTGATGATGGTGGGTGATGGGGACAATGGGGATGGGGACATTGATGGTGACAATGGTGGGTGATGGGGACAATGGGGACGGGGACATTGATGGTGATGATGGTGGGTGATGGGGACAATGTGGATGGGGACATTGATGGTGACAATGGTGGGTGATGGGGACAATGGGGATGGGGACATTGATGGTGACAATGGTGGGTGATGGGGACAATGGGGACGGGGACATTGATGGTGATGATGGTGGGTGATGGGGACAATGGGGATGGGGACATTGATGGTGACAATGGTGGGTGATGGGGACAATGGGGA